GTAAATCAAGATTAGTTCTTTTTGCATCTAGTCTATCTTACTCACTTTCTATGTGCTATTTCGTTGGAGCTGCGCCTCAGACTGCCCATGTAGAGAACTCTCTTCTATTTTATATCAACACCAAATCTGGGGTCGGCGTCCGTAAAAAGTGTAACATTTACCATTTGCAATTAAGTATCAAATGGTGTCGTTCTATCATATGATGCGCATGCCCCTTTATATTGTTCTAATGTTCCTTTAGATTTGAATTTGCTTGCTTTGATTGATGCACCAAATTCTTATTACATTGATGATGCTTCGATGTTTTGTGATCAGTCTGTCATGCAACGTTCTGACCCCAAAATTATGGAATATATATTTTGCTTATGAATGAAATGGTTAATTTAATTTATGAAGACCAAAATGAGTCATCATTTTTCTTCATATTCTTGAAGTAATTCATGTAGTTTTGAAGCTATTAACAATTCACACAAGTATTATTCGAAAGACGGAACGCATTTGAAAGATCTTCCGCTTTTTCATCATGAATTTTTCCTTCGGGGGACATTGTATATAAAAGCCTGATTCAAAAAATGTCGATTTTTTGAAAACTCTATAATATTAATTTTCAATAACATTCGACTAACTTTACCGTTAATTCTACATGTATTACGGTACTAGAGACAACTGTCAAATTACATACGTTGATTTACAAATAGTTAAAGTATTTCATGGCTGCATTGATCTTTGTATGTTTTGACAAGGATCTTCAACAACATTTGGCTATTTTCTATCTGTTCCTATCTGCTTGACATTTGTTATGATCTCCAAATTCACAGATGATGTACAACCAAAATAAATTCACAGACTTGGTTATTTTTTCTAGCAGAATAAAAACTAACAATCATATTTCATCGCTAATTGCTTGACTGTTTTGATGGGCTTGGAAGTTCTTTCAATGCAGGCTTGTATCTCTCTTCACATTATACACGCATATGGTAATTATGCGTCGTAACATGTACCGTATGTAGTACGACAAAAATTCACTGAACGTCCAAAATTGATAATCTGAAAAGCCCCATCTGTCCATATTATTAGAGCTAACAAAAAATTTCAAAAAGGTTTTGGTCAAACTTTAAATTCTTACTACAATATAGATGTGTGGGATTGAATTGTATTCCCATGTCAAGTCAATGGCACCCTTGCTGAAATCCTCATTTTCTCTGAAGAAAGTGATTCATGTGGGAGAGTATTGGTAGAATCCACCTTCAATAGTAAGAATAAGAATAGGGGTTGTAAAAAGGACATAGGGCTTACTCGAACTTTTTGTTGGCTCTATATAAACATCCAAGAAGAAAGAGTAAGCCGCAAAAGTTCTAAATCTTCAAAGAACGTTAGAAATCGAGCAGTGAAAAGAGAAAAGTAAAATATATCAACATAGCATAACATATTTGCAATTGCAAGTGGGCATTAGATATTTCTAGCTACACAGTGGTAAGGTGACGATATATTAAATAAACAACAAGTTTCGCTTCTTAACTTCACACGGGGCGTACTATTTGATCAACCCATGTAACTGACATCCTAAAGTTTGCAAACTCTTCAAAATCATTGAAGTCTGCTTGCCTATAAAGGAAATTTGGGATGAACGGTCATTGAAAATCAGGCAATATCTTGTATAGTCACAGCGTTGAACCTCATCAATCTTCTAACTAAATGATAATGTACACAGACGTAGAGTGAGCATGCATTATTAGCCGACGACATACTCGGTAGTGAAGAATGCAAACCTATACCGAATATTGCAATTAATAGTAAAGTATATTTCTGATGTTTTAATATGTCACTTGATTTAAGACTTTGATCCATGAAGCTATGCAAAAAGTCACATAATTATGCAATGCCATGTAATAATTTCCACCGGTGAACGAAAATATTGGATTGTTCTTTTGTTTAATTATTGAAATATACCATGGGCTTTCAATTAGAGTTGAAAGCCCATGAACAAACAAAATGGTGTTAAAATGGTAAATTTCGAAATTTCGAAAAAAATCTTGAATCTCAAGTTCAATTGTTGTAAGTTATATCGCAATCTGATATTTTATGCCACACAACCCGGGCAGCTGAGAACATGTGACTTCTCCTTGAATATTATTGTATCAATCCAAACGCAAAATACTAATGAGTTTTTATATATTGACATCCTCATGGAATTTTATAAGAATTAAATAATTTTGATATCGTCTGAAAACCATAATGATTGTTTCGAAAGATTCAAGCCGAGAAACCCCATTGGTACTTAAGGTGATTTCGTCTGTGATACTATAATTTGGATGATCATTAATGTTATAGGAAACCAAAATGAGTCTGAACCTTTTGCATACTGGTATTCTAGCTGATACTCATCAATTCTTTCTATCTTCAACTAAAAATAAGAAAAAAGTAATAAAAGGCCATGATTTCTCATGATGATTCACTGGTAATGGGGCAAAACTCTTGCAAAGAGGTATATGTAATACTTGATTAGACTGTTTAGAGGATAATGTAAACATTTAGTTGATTTTCGGGATGAATTTCAAGATAATCAAAATACAAAATAAATGTCTAGCTGCACACTCTAATAGAAAACTTATATTCTACTGAAATTTTGAACTGACAGCTTCGGGTTTCTAACTTTGAAAAACAACAATTTTCGTGTGAGAATCCTATCCAGGAAATTCCCAGTATCTGTTTGGAGCTAGAGATATGCATGGCAGATCAAGATCATGCTTTCCAAGTGGGGTCCCACCAAGATCAATTTTGATAGTAACAAAAGTTAACCACTATTTGTTTTTGTTTCACCGACTCGTGCCTTCCAGTTCTATTCCAAAAGGTGTCATATCTATAATGAATAGCTAAACCGTCAATTTTACCCAGCATGCTCAAAACAAAAACTCGCCAGTTCTAGATTTTCATACAAAGAAATTTCCCTAAAAATCTCAAGACTAAAAGGCGAAACGCCAAGCTGACGACGATAACGTACCTTATCTAAGATACGATGAAAATCAAACTTCAAATACGACGTCGAACCAGCAAGATCTTGAAATGGGTGTGGCAATTTTGGCCAATTTGGATAAAGATCCCATCTTTGAACATCTATATTTCGAGGGTTTTTGAATTTGCAAATGAAAATGCAATAAATTATTAGAGTTCAAGTGAAGGTATGCTAGTAGATGTGCTCAAACGTGGATTTTAAAAAGCACAAAATTCTAAATTGCTATATTTCAATGATTTTATTTTTCAAAGAACATATGTACAAACAAACATGATGAGATAACAATACATTCAATTACACTGTAACCCCTATTATGCATTCACATACTTTGAATGAGATTAGTTCGTTAGTCGACGAGAGGTTTCGAAGTTTCGAACATGACGGACAGAGGCGGACTCTCGATCGAAATAGTTTCCTTATATAGTTCTGGACATAAAATTTCAAAGTTACTTTTTGTAGAAGCCCAGAATATTTTTTCTAATAAAGTTCCAGAACACAAGAGATAGCAAATGCAGGGACACGTCTCAAAAAGGTGGCGCACTTGTGTTTTTAGGGTATCGCATGAATGTAACTTTGATTCTTCGGAATATAAGTGAATATTCTAATTAAAGTTATATATCATTTTAAAGCTGCTTTAATGAAGTTTTCAAATCAAGTACACTCCTTTCACAATTCTTGCGGGTTCCTTTTTAAAACTAGATAATGGCAACTCCGCGGAGTAGCAAATCCCAACGAACAAAATATCAATTACCGAAATCCAATCAATTATACTCATTACTTTGGTTGAAAATGAAAAAATTAGATTTTAGAATTGCGAATTCCTGCAAAGCAGCCATTTTGAATTTTCTGAGGTACAAATCTGAAAAATAATACCATAATTGTGATCTACTCCAAAATTCCTTCAATTTGAGTATAATATAGCCATACTTTGAAGGGATCGAAAAATTATTGCGAAATCGTACATTAGACGGCCATTTTGAATTTTACGAGGCTCGAATCAGAAAAAGATACAATATTTGCAATCTACTCTTAATTGCCTTTCATTTGAGTATAATAAAGCTATACTTCAGAGAGATCTAAAAATTAGCGAAAATTTCTGTTTTCCTGTCCCCCCATACATGGCCCCTGGGGGTCAGGATGAAAAACACAGAATATATGTGAAATAGATAAATGTTGTGAATACACTACCGAAATTGCAAACAATAATATTAATTACTTTGGTTTAGAATGAAAAATTTATGATTTTTGCGAAAAAGTCCCGTCAGTTTTAAAGCGGCGGCCATCTTGAAAAAAAATTTTTTGCGTAAAACTATTCACCAATATACATCTTTCCACTAAATATGAAGAAAATCTGTCAACTAGTATTTGAGTTATCTTCCGGACAGACGGACGGACTGACTGACTGACTGACTGACGGACAGACGGACGGAGGGCTTCACTATATCCCTAACGAACTTTGTTCGTTGGGATAAAAAGATTCTTTTACCCAAAAAGCTGGCAATTATCCGCTATCGACACGTTACATTTTGAATAATTTTTCGTCTTTAAACGTTCATATCTGACTATTATACTTTATTTTCGTCTTGATAAAGGTAGATGGAAGTGTTATTTCAAAGAATGAAATCTAGTAAGCGTCCCATATTGTGACGTCATATAGTTTGAAAAATAGAATCTGTCGACAGCGACTTTTTTGCTCATTTTTTGTTACCTTCAGCTTTTCAGGTGTACATTAAACAAAAATACGACACCGATTTTAAATAAATCATACATGATTATTTTGCTCATAAACTCTAGTTTATTAATAAATACTTGATTTTGTTCGAAAACGAATGTGTTTTCTGTTGTATGTGGAAAAGTGGAGGACGAAAGGTTTTCAACATTCATTATAGGGCGAATTTAGGCCATTCACCTATTTTCAAACATAGCAGCACATATATTTATTTCACTTAACATATCAATTGATTCGTGTTTTATGATGCTCTTAATATAACCCATTGTTAATATGTATACGATATCAGAGTTATTCGTCTTAAATATTTTGAGATATAGAGGCAAATGTCTGTGGAGGACGAAAGGATTTCCAAATGTGTACATTTTCTCAAAAACGTCACATTCTGTCGTGTTAAAAAGCGAAAATGTGTAACAATTACGTGCGCGAACTATTTGCGACGTGTCAGCCTGGTATTATTTTGTCCAAAAAATTATTTTGTGACAAAAAGAAATGAATACTATTTCAACCCCAGAATATATTCAAAGCAAAGATTGTGTCCTCTTTATTAGCTTCTATGGGTCTCTATTGTACACAATTCTGCGTTTTACAATTTGGTTAATTGAACAGACGGTCGCAAAAAATGAATGTTAAAAAATAAAAACGATTTCTTTCCTCGGCTACTTTTATAGTCCATTGCCCAATAAATATATGTCAGGACGGAATTTCACGAATGGCTGCGACATCTCCAAAGGTCGTCACAATTTTATGGATCTGAGACATTTGCATACCTTATATATAGTTATCTTCTTTTAAAAAGGTTAGCGCTGTTTGTCTTGTCATAGCTTTGTGAATGACTATGTCATATGGATGGTGTACAAATGTTCAAGACACGTCCAGATATATCGATATGTGTTGACGCTGCTGACGTGAACAGAATGCTGACGCAAACGATCAATACACAAAACAAGTCAACGTTGACGCTGTCAACTCTGAAGATACATTGGAGGTATTGACTGGGCCATTGCACAATAGTATCCATAATTGGCAGCATTTTGACTTAACGACATTGTCTGAGTCATTGTCTCCGCTTTCATGCATGAACTTGACGTCACCACGGTCGACTGGCTCCCCGGGAATACGGAGTGAGAATGCCCGGGAGTGATGCCTAGCAGATTATTGACGGAATGTGGTGTGTGCCAAGGTCGCAGTGGACTAGCGTTCATACCAGAGACGCTCCCCATTGTTCCCATACTTCCCATTCCCATTGGTGCCATTGCTTGCTTTGGGGATAACTGTAACCCTGGTTGCTGGGAACTAAGCTGTGCCCCGGGCATCGTGAGCCCACTGGGGGTGCAGGTATACGGATAGATGGGATTATAAAAAGTTCTGGGTTCTGTTGCAGGGGGTTTATAAGTAACTGTGTCGTACTGTCCGTTTAGATGTTGTAATGTCCCTATCTTGTTGCGTAATATCCTACTTATTGAACTAACAGAGGGCACATTGAATTTATCGCATACACCATCGGCTAACAGTTTGTCTCTGATTTCCCAAGCGAATATACCAGGATCTCGCTCCTTGTAGACCTTGATATGTTTAACTACATGAGGGGTTGTAACTCTAGGCTTACTCCCGCCTATGGCTCCAGGCAGAATGGACCCAGTTTCGTTGTATCTGGCCAGGATCTTGCTAACGCAGCCGTGCGAGACGCGCAATTGTCTACTTATGTCGCAAGGTCGGACGCCCATCTGAGCTAATTCGACAATGCGCAATCGGATGGCAGTGGGGAGGGGGCGACCGTTCACGAACATGCCCCCTAGCTGGTTCACCTCGCCGTATTGTAGCGGTTGTTCTGAAAACATAAAATTAGAAATTTATACAAATGCATGATTAACCATTTTATGTAACTAAATGAAGAATGAAAATGAATTCAATTGGAATAGAAATTTCATGTTTACACCATCTTATCATTTTTTATAAACAGAAAATAAAAATGGAACAACTATATATTAACAATAAATTAGTATATTGATCGGTCTCCTTCCCTCACCCCCCCCCCCCCCCCACACCCGATTTCTTTGATCTCGGTTTATTTTGTTCCAGTTCGTCTTGGCTGTAAAACAAGGCGTAACAAATGACATGTAAATAAACAACTAAATTATGTCAAAATTGTTTCTGAAATGTCTCTGGCTTCAAGCCTGATGGGATTTAAATCGTTCTGGGAGTAGAAGAGAGGACACGACAGGGGTGTCAAGTTGCAAGACCAACAATTGCTGTGTCACAATCATTAAAGTTCTCCAGGTTCTTGTACATGTTAGCGGCCCATAAATCCATCACAAGGCAATTTATTGCTAATCACCAAACGTCTGCTGGGTAACGGGCTATAATTAATCACTTCTTTTAATTGAGAACTCTTTTATCCAGCACGTTAAGATAGTTTACAAGTGACTTGTGCACTGGGGCGTAGCGATATCTGGGGACGGATTACTCACCCCGGCAGACAAGGGCATAAATCCATGTCCGCGATTGTAAACAATCCCCTATCATGTGACCTCCTACTGAGTTAAGCCTTACGCAATAAATTATCTTCAAAATATGTTTTCTGGGAACTTTCTTTGATTCTAAACAGTGGTGCTATAAGTGAGTCAGAAAACCTATGTCAATTAGGGGTGTAGGTTCCATTGAACAATCGAGCTAAAAATATGTGTCGCGTTTCCAAACAGAATTAGACACATTTCTGAATACGTTGAGAGCGTTCTCATAGTTTACTGTTAAAACTGCAATAGTTCAAGAATTATGACTTCTAAATAGTTTCGTTAATTTGATTTATTCAGGTATACATTACTCTAATAGGCTCAGAAAGAGAAATAGTGTGCACTTCAGTTTACTTAAAGGTAGAATCGGACATAGAAATATTGTTTCAAAAAACATGTCCCTGTTCTCTATAAGTTCATATTTCATGAAAAAAATCTATATGACATATATTAAGCATTCTTTAACAGCATTGAGGCTACTATATGTAAAATAACTACTGTATAAGTGGTAATTTTGCCTAATCATTTAATTTGCCTATTTCCTAATTTTTGCTAGGTTCGGAAAATTAAATGTCGGAAATATTGTCTTTATAATGTTATCCAATGGGAAGTTTCTTGTCATTAGGAAAATTGAAATTAGGAAAATGATGAAATTTGACCATTCGGAAAATTAACCACTCGGATTAAATACCACTTATATGTAGTATTTCAAATAACTGCAACAATTAGCGTGGGTATTTAGGATTACAGAGAACACCTTGATGAGAAACTGTTTTGGCTCCGTTATATCCCTTTAGTTTCAGGGAGGTTATCCCGTAGGCTTCATTCGGTCCCATGCTCAAATCTGAAATTTTTATTCGGTCCCATGTTCAAATCTGAATTTTTGCGCTAAATGTAACTAGTGTGTCAGGATTCTGCTTTTAACAACTACTCAAGTATGTGAAATGAAGTTGATAATTTGAATTTAATAAAACACTTACTATACGCGAAAAATGAGAATAATCTTGATTTTTGTGATTTCTTGAGACTTAAATGTATCATCACTATCAAATAATGAGCTTTGAATTAAATAGATAAAAGTAAGAATCGAACTGGAATCAAGATCATTTTCAGTTTTCATAAAGAAGTATGTCAGTTTAGATTAAAAAATACTGTTCATCGACTATAGTCGTTTATATCGAAACTCAAAAATACGCAAGGTGAAATATAGATGAGCAGTTATAAATATACAATACTGTATCTTAAGAATGATGCATAGCAGCACTTTGAACTTACTAAAGAGTAGATATAGTACTTTTAAATTATCTGAATTCAGTTTCAATGCAAATTAAAGAAAATTCCTTTTGACTTTTATACTTGTGATAATTTTTAAATGGCCTTTTGGTGCCCCTGATTAGCCAAATGATGAATCGGATTATGCAGGTAAGAGGGAAAAGCCAAAAAGAATACAGAGGATTGCAAAGTAAAGTTCAGTAGTCTATGTTGTTTTTAAATCTATGTTTCAGAAATATAGAAATCCATTTTACAATTCATACCAAAATGAAATGCATTCAGTGTATGAGTGATGAGATTTCAAAGGGGGAAAATCTTTGTAATTCCGCACTTTCAGAAAAAAATTGAAAGCGATTTGTGAAAATATCATTACAACCTAAGTCCTATGTGTTAATAAAATATTATCATGATTTCGAAATAGTACTAAGCAATCAAACATTGGTAATAGTTATCAAGAAAATAATATGAAAATATGAAAATATTCAAATTGTGAATCTACCAAATGTCACAATTGACACTTGGAGTATTGATCAGACCCAAAGCTCCCGAAGGAGATCAACTCTTTGATTACCTTAATTATATCACTAGTTCTTCATCTCAATGCTCACAATTACAAGACGTGCAAATAAAAGTATTTGAAATGACTTCTACGGTAATGTTTGGATTGAGGTCAAATAATATTTTATTCTCGGATTAGGGGTTCACCGCATTCCCTTAGAAAATCCGGCCACAAACAAATTACGAGACGTTTAGATTGGAAAAATAACAAATAAAGATTATCTATAACTTGCAGATAGAAATAGTAGCCTGCAATTTTTAAAATTATGAATTAAGGTAAGCATAAAACCAAAAATAATTTTCACATTACAAGAATTTTACTGGTCCTTTAGACTGAGGGACAGTTCACTCAGCTCAAGCCACAAATTATTGTCAAGCCATGATTGTTACCACAGTCTGAACTTGCCTGAATACAAAATTATATAAAATGGACGAAATAAAGAATAAATAAATATGATTTATCATGACCGAATCATTAGCCTAATGAGGTTTATTGTTAATGTTTCTACCACAACCAAATATTTCCTGATGAGAGACTTGCAACTGAAATCTTTATTTATTTTCAAAAATCCAAGCAGTTCATTTCGATGACACGAGACTAATTTTAATAGAAAGAATAACAGTTTAATGAAAATTACTAACTGTATATTAAAGAATTGTATTTCAAAATTACTTTGAGAAATTGCACCTATTAATTCAAATACTGATACCTGCCACTAGAACTATTAAAACATTCACCAAATTGTAACGACCTAGGGTGTAGAGAAAGTATATTTCTCAAAAAACTTCCAAATTCTAGTACTTCACAGGTAAGGCTGTCTTAAACATCTGTGTTTTGGTTTCCACAAGTGTGTCATGCTCCGCCAATGTCTATCAGAAGCATGACAATGCATGGCAGCAAACGACATCGACCTTGCAAACGATCACGTCCCAATGACCGAGACACACTGGAGCAAGGCGGAACGTCGTCATGCAAAAAGCAATGAACCGAATTCAGATGAACTGACGCAAATGAACTTACCCATCGCCTCCGGCATGAGAACAGACATGGAAATCTCTGCCCTGTTCCTTTCTGAAGGCACTCTATTCTCTCAACTTTAGTGACAACTGTTTAGGCTTTACTCCGTGACGTTCACTTCCGCGGGTTACACTTCTATGACATGCGTTACATATCCGTGTTTATTTTATAACGACTTCAGTGAAAGTTTATTCGAGAAGTTAAAACAGGTTTGTATTTTGGTTTGACTTTTTGCCACAAAGGTGATGCCAGCAACTTATGTTTGGAGCAAGAGGCACGGATTGATAGAGAAAGGTAGAAGCTGATTGGCCAGCAGACAAGGAGGAGGTATTCGCTAAAGTGGAGGGTGTCCGATTCTTCCAGGTGGATTTTCATTGGTTATCTAGCCTGCTAAGTGTCTACCAAACTAGGGAAACAAATCAACAACAAGTTATAATTTTAATTTGGTTCTTACTTCTATGGCTTACTTTATTTCCATGCATACTAACTGCTTTACCACATCACAGACCAGAACCATAAACCTCGCCATTTACCAGCTCTTCGTTTTCAGTTACTATCAATCGAATGCTCTACAATAAGTCAACATTTGAACAGCATGATCATGTCAACAAAATATGAAGTTTGGAAACAACGTATTACAAGAAAACATCATCGATACATTCAATGAATCATATCTGTGTAATGTTAACGATCTTGAATGTTTTGAATCTTGGAAACTCGATTCTCAGAAATCATTTTAAAAAGTATATATTTGCCAATCGAAAGGGACCGGAAAATGGACAAACTTGAGCCTTCCACCGTAAATAAACTGGCCAATAGTTTTGATCATTTTTTAAAATAAGTATAAGTTTGCCTAACAAATAACTAAAGGAATATGTGTAGACAGAACACGACTTCACTAAATATCAAGATTTCTGATCACTAGGATTGATCCCGAGAGATCTCCGTTCTAGAAATAAAGCATCTTTACCTGGCTAGGAGATATAGACTGTCTTCACCATCCGCAACATCTGTTGCCGATTGTTGAAATGATCTTTCCACAGGGGCATTAAACTGAAAACAAACCCGTGAAGCAATCTTACACCCCAGTCAAGTCATAATTGAACATTATTTCTATTACTATTGAAAATAGGGAAAAGTAATAGTGATCATTTCAGAATGAATGTGTTTAATTAGTATTTTGTTCGTTCTTTACTTTCAGTATTTATTATATACAATTGTAAGTTTGAGAATACCTTGAATTAAATCCCGCGCCCTAGTTTCAATGCAGATTTTTATTTGGCAAAATGTTACCCAAGTAAATGGGCCCGCGGGTGTCAGAAGTAGATTTTAGGTAAAGGTAAGTAAACTATGGAACGAGGGTAAACGATAAAAGAACTAACCAGTTATACAGCCATGATAATTGTACTTTTACAATTTAAAAACGATTGAATATATCACATTGATCTTCTTTCGATCTATTATAAGATCAAACATTTTTATGAATTTTGGAGCTTGTGAAGGCAAGATGTCCTCGCTACGCTCATTCTAATGACAGGCCAAACGATTTAGTTGGTTTACGCGTTAGACGCCAAGGTAGGTTGATTAGCATCCCACCCAACGTAGGGTATCATGTAAATTTATATCTCTTATAACATGAATAAATTCGAATTATTTTTACTTTTCAATTTCATTCTCTTGGAGTACGACTGAAGAGGTTGCAATTTCCATAAGTAAATATATCACTTTCTCAAGTAGATGCTCGGACAAGGCGACTAACACATACATATAAATTAGGCGCTGTTTGATCCAAGATCAGATTTCATTAGCTTCAAGTTCTATGTAACTACAATAAGATCTACGTTGACATGTAATAATGTATTTTTCTATTTTAGTTTATGAATTTAAAAAGTCCGTAACTTGTTAATGGGTTTTGGAAATTTGAAGAGTGTAAAAAACGTTTTAATTGGCTCCAATGGGATTAAGCATTAACGCTTCCGTCACGTATTAGACGACAATTAAATAAAAATAAAAATGACATGTAGAATAGATTTCCTATAATTTTGTCCCGATACGTACGATTTTATCCTACAAGTAAAAACAATCAAGCTGTCAACCGAAGGACTTTAAATGCTAATAGGTAGAGCAGAGGGTCATTGAGATGTTAGTTTAGCGATCTAAGCCCCAGTCGGACCTTTAGAAGCCACAGTCCCCACATGAGAGCCTGTCATCTACAAGGGCCCTTCCACTTCACCATCAACTTATACATTTCTAGACAAGGGTGAAAGAATAGAGATATTTATATATAGGCACCAAAGCGATATATATTCCGTCTAATAGGTAAAACAAAGAGTAAACTTGTCAAAAAAGTGAAATCGCTTCCCTTGATCTTGCGTTGGGTGAGCTAAAGATGATATCTAAAGTACTGGAGTCACACGATATGGTTTGCCCAGTGCATGGCGGAACTGTAGGTAACGTTTGTGCAGGTCAAAGCGGAACTGTATGTGAGGCGACCCGTGGCGAGCATAGCGAGACGGACAGATGCTCGCAATGGTGGTGGTTTGGATGCTGTGGCTGATGTATACAACAGTGGTCTTCTGTCACCTTGAAGAATTTAGAATCATTGAGCAATATTTGGTTGATATATTTTTGTTCGAATTAAATTTTGAACTTGTAAATTATATGTTCATTTCAATTACAAATATAAATTCATTAGGGAACTGTGTATATTTTATAGAATCAGTATTGCTGCATTTTGTGATGTTGCTTGGGAGTACAATAAAAAATCTGATGTTAAGAAAGTTTCGATGTAGCAAATAAATAACTGTAAAAATTTAGCTATACTGTCAATTCAAATTATTACACCGCCTAGTGTGGCCCCAGCTAACCTCTTTAGTTTGAGATTCTGCCATGCCTGTTATGTCTAGTTTATATTAACTGCGTACTCACAAGACAATGGCAAGTATTATTTCAGTTTCCTGAATATATCATATTCCGTTGATAAAAACAAACAAATAATGTCCGATTAAATGTCCCTCCAACAGGCTTTGTATAAAAAACCTCGTACCCACCTACCCACGTACGTGGGACAGGATACAGTCTTTGAAGGGTTCAATTGTAAAGATCTTAGTTTATTAAATCTTAGTTTATGATGAATTATAGATGCATTTGTAATGACCCTTGTAAGCAAGTTGCTACTACAGCCCAGCTGGGTTCGATTCCCACTCGGGGCATCGAATTTAGCACACTTTCTTTCAATTTCTTTATCTGGCTTGTTGAACCTATGCTCGCGGTCGTTAGTTGGTCGGGTCATTACACATTACAATGCAACACAACACAAATGTGTCCTGAAGTGGTGTTCACTAACAACAAGTGTTCACTACAAAGAGGTGTTCACTAAGACAGGTTTTACTGGAATAGTATTTTATAATGATAATTAATACAAATAATGATGATCACTTCAAATAAAGTAAGGGACAAGCATTACGCCGAATCGAAATTCTATAACGTGACATAATATAAACTAAAATGAAATGATATAATAAAGGTGCAACAGTTAGTGCAGGGGAGAGGGGGCATTCAAAAATCCAAGGTAGAGGGGACATAAAACTCTGGGGACACCTTCCCAGTTACCATATAGACATGAACATTTATTTTGTCCTATTTATTTCTAGAGTGGCCTAATTACAACTCTTCCCTAATATTAGTATAAATCAATCGGGGAGAGGACTATATAGAAGTGAGACCATAATATATTTCTTTGACATCGAAATAAATTTCGAATACTCTTTCACATACATAAACAAACTCTATTGACTTCCAGGAGAGAACATCACAAGATTTTTGCTTTCAAAGCGAGATCTAAATGTTTTCCTCCTTTCATTTGTGATTTAATTAGCAACTAAGAGAACACTCATATTACCCGAACCGAGACACTATTTTTACGTTCCCCAAGTCATCAAAAGTTCCACTATTTTCAGAGCTCTTAACCCTTTGGTGATGATAGGAAAGGACAACCAATAGATTTAAAACAATAGTAAGAGGCAATGGGAGTCCAGACTCCATACTGACCACTACCAAAATTAATATAAACATACCTCGAAGAACAGAAATACTGTTTAACAGAATGAGAGCAGGTTTGATTTTAAGGCCACTTTACATTCTCATAATTTGGTCACCGACCCAACTTGCATATGTGGTGCTATATTCAACAGACAACCATTTTATATTAAAATGCTCTTTACTGCAGCAAGAACGTAGTGCATCAGGACTTAATTTCCATGTTGTTAAATTTTAAATTCCCCGATGATGTTGCAAAATCTAGGCAGTCATATTGTATTACTAAATGTAATATTTTGAAATTAGAAATAAACTATTGATCAGAGTCTATTTTTTCATTATGTACACGCACTAAAAGCAAAACATTAACTGTATGCACATATGGTTGCAGTGATAGGCGACATGGTATCCCGTCATCATTATGTCTCCCTGTCATCGCCTCACCACAACGAAGGTCCCGTGTACCCAGCGTCCAATATTGCCTCAGTCATTATGCCTCTGCGGCTGATCATCGTTGAACGTCCCATGGTGTCTGTCCTGTCCTGCCCCAGCGGTCCATCACCGTCTCGTGTCCCAGTTGAACCCACCTCCTCCGAGACTCGAACTCCAGCCCATGCAACGAGTCCATTCGTAACCAGACGCGCTACCACTGAGCCATACGTACACACAGTGACTGCACGTGTAAAACATAATGCCTAATAAACTTGAAGGCTTTACAAGAATGGTAATCAGTAAACTACGCTAATTAGAACTGAGGTAAAACGCATCAAGTAATCCGTTATTTTCTTTAGGTCAGTTCGAATTCGCCATCTATTATGTAGCTAAATGGACGGGTTATATTGTCATTTTAGAATCATTCTCGCCATCTTTACAATCTCAATGCAACCACTACGCAACAATAGGGGTACTGCTAACGTATATATACAAGGCGCGTATTTTTGGGTTTGCGTCACTGCGTGCGGAGCGAGCCCCCCCCCCAAAAAAGGGGTATGGGCGTTCACCCCCGGAAATTTTTGAAAATTTACATTATATATGGTGCATTCTACGTATGTTAAATTATAGTTTGTAAATGTTTTTTCAACAAAGGACGATTCTCGGTTTGGAGAACAGTCTCCTGGGCTAATAATTTTTTTCATGAAAAATATAGAAATATTACCCAAATTAAACTATGAATATTCAAAAGAGGACATTTAATTCTACAAGATGTAAAAATAACAAATTGGTCTGAAGCAGGGATAACGCTCAATTAGACCGATTCAATAAAATACAAGTCTCGATTTGGGGAAAGAAGTTCATCAGTGTACTGCGCTAATATTTTTTTTGCGAAAAATCAAGAAATATTACCCAAATTAAATTATGACTATTCAAAAGAGGACATTCAAATCTATATTATGTAAAAAAATCAAATTTGTCCGAAGCAGGGATAATGCTCATTTAGATTGATGAACTTCGTTCTCCAAACCGAGAATCGTCCTTTTTACAAAATGCTTTTTTTGGGGGGGGGGTGAGAGTAAGAGTAAACAGAGTCACAGAGAGGAGCTCAGTACAATGGATCTTATACACACATAGAATAGTACAATAACGTCATTTCTAAGGGCGATATAGTGAAATATTGGACCAAGGGCCGAAGGCCCAAGGTCCAATATTTCACTATATCGCTCGCAGAAATGACGTTATTAGTATTATTACCACCGTTAACGACCAGGACTGAAACAGCAAGAAAATCTTACGCATTGTACGATATTTAATTTCCCGGGGAAAATTGCCGGTCCAGAATATATTCTAGACCGGTCCATATGGACCAACACTATGACGTCACACATTTCTCAGGTCGATTTAGTAAAATAAACGCCTTCTAAACTAGCACTAAAACCCCTAGAACTGGCCCGGCAAGGTGGTAATAATGAGCGATTGGAGCCGGACACAATGAACCTAATACACACCTTTTTATTAATATGTAAATACGTTATAAAATGATCCATGAATAATGGGAAAATAAAGATATAACAAATAATATACACACATAGAATGAACGATCTGATGAAGGATCTGATTACAAGGGACTTCATACACGATAGGAGCTGAACACAATGGACCATACACACATTTCGAGTGACCGGTAGGAGCCAAACACAATGGATCACATTCATACAGAGAGTAACCGAACCGAACACAAGTGACGACGACATACAGTCATAGAGTGACAGATGGAAATCTAAGCACAGTGGGCAACACACAAAGGGTGACTGTTAGGAGCCAAACACGATGGACCTCATACACACATAGAGTAACTGAGAGGAGCTCAATACAGTGGGGCTTATACATAGTACCCCACACACAATTTTGTCGCCCACTTTAATGTGTTGTGGAAAAAAATCCAATGAGAATTTTCTCATGAAATTTGGTATACATTAAATTGAAACAATTTGTGACACTCAAATTTTTTTGTTTCGGGTAATATGACTTCACCACAATTTGACATCGGTTTCTAAATTGCTACGTATTTACAGATTTGACCTAAATTAAGCAAAATTGAATTGAAACAATTTGTATTGAATTACATTGAATATTCTGGTCAATCCTATCCTATAAAACACCATTATAATCCACAGGTAAAAGCAAAACTGAACCAAGCAGGAGTGACTGTTATAATGTTACAAATGTTATGATGTTACCCCTGAAAGGTCACATGTTAAATCCATGTGAATCATTCCATGTTGTCCAACAAAAGGTAAGCGGTCGGTGGCCACCTGTGAGTCATTGGGCGAATATGGCCTCCCTATCGTAGGCCAACGAAATTTTGAAGAGTGCAAGCTCACTGTTAACTATGCCTTAAATGACTTAAACAAAATACAAGCATTTTCTTGAGATGCAAGCTAATGGAAAAGATTTTTTAATCGAGTGAGAAAGTAGGAAATGCTGTAGTGGTAGGATGGGATAGAAATCCACGCAGGGATGTCTTTAAGTGCACTGATAAACCTTTTTAGACTTAAAGCCATATGATACATGCACCTACCCATGTATTGAAAGTATTAATAGGGGTCTTCACTCTTTAACAATAATAAAACCACTCTTATAATATTCCTATTTAGGAGTTAAAACATCTCCAACACATAGTAACAATATCTTAAGAGAACAGACAAACCATATGTAATGCAATAAGTTTGTAATCAAAATGTAATCAAAATGATTTAAACTCTCTTTGAAACTGCAAAACTGGAAATTTTCGTCGAATTTTGTTAAAACATGAATATATTAGAATTGCTTGTTTGTCGTCAATATTGCTTAAATTTCCAAATAAAAAAATTTGAGTGTCACAAAATGTTTCAAGTTAAAGTATGCCAAACATAAGCAAACTCTTTTTGGATATTTTTCTACAATACATCAAAGTAGGCGACAGAATTGTGTGTGGGGTACTACATAGATGTACCGATAGGAGCCAAACGGGAGCCAAACATAATGGACCACACATATGTAGACATAGAGTGACTGATAGGAGCTCAACGAGGCGTATAGCCTTTTTATTTTTTCGTGAAGCCACTCATTAAAATTGCGATTTCTCTGCAACCTGATGTCCAATCAAGATCATTCAAGTATCTATGTGTTCCTGACACGTTTGGACGTCATGAATTACGTCAATGTCGCGTGCAAACATTGGGTAGACGTTGTCATTACCGGATGCCCAAACGTGTCAGGAACACATAGATACTCGAGTGATGTTGATTGGACATTTAATTGATTGGTAATTTTACTGAGTGGCTTCACGAAAAAATAAGCAGCATTATAGGCCACCGGCCCACCTTAACACAATGAACCTCAAACATGATAGTAGCTGAACACAATGGGCCGCATACACACATAGAGTGTTGGACCACGTAAACCTGTACAGTGTACACATAGTTTGACTGATAGGAGCTCGCCAAAAATGGATCTCATACACACAAAATATGACCAATAGCAGCCAATAACATAGGGTAACCAGTAGGAGCCGTGGACAATGGACCTCCTACACACATAGAGAACGATGGACTTCATACACATATAGAGTGACCAATAGGAGCTGAACACAATGGTCCATAATATATATGAAGTGACTGATAGAAGGTCAATGCAATCAATGGACATTATTCACATACTGATAGAGACTACACAATAGACCAAATACACACATAGAGTGATGATATGAGCTCAACTTATTGGACCTCATACACGTATGTAAGGTGACCAATTTGAGCAAAACACAATGAACCACGTACACACATAGAGTGATCAATAATATCCAAACACAATTGACCCCCTACACACATAGACATGTTGAGGTATACACTTTTGCCAGTTGAGAGAATAGAGAGGTTAACAATTGTTTTGTAAGTCCGAGGAATATAATAATAATTGGAAGGATATATTATCGAATATCACATGCACCGTGAACATTTTTGAAAAGTGTAGGTGTCATATTTTAGCAAAAAATGCCCAAACCATCGAATATTTGTGATTTTTTCACAACTTATTTTTTCAATTTTTTCGAATTAAAAAAAATTCAACGTTTAAAAACATTTTTTTCAAAAGTACTGTTGACCGCTACTTGGTACCTCTCTATTTTCTCAACTGGCAAAAGTGTATACCTCAACAGTAAACCTTGAGAGTACTGTTGACCTCGATCTCCGGTCTCGGTCAACAGTACTTTCAAGGTTTACAATATCGGTATAAAATTTTGCCAGTTGACCTCAAGAGAGGTCTAAAATTGTATATTGTACAGGGTGTCAAAAAACAACGGCACCCCCCTCTACAGCAAAAATTTCTGAAGTTCAATATCGTGTCATACCTCATTTGAAAGATAATTTAATTCTGGAGTTACTCCTCAAATTTCATTTAATAAAACTTTATATTAAAAAAGCTACATTGTTTTTAAGTTTGCTACTTCGGTACTTTGTTTGCTGCTCTGTACTGGTTAAAGGTGAAATCTTTAGAAAGTGGAATATGAAAGAATTAGCCCAGATTTCAACTGCACTGGACATATGGGTTCAGTTCTGAAAAACAGGGTATAGGAACTGATGGACAAAGAGCCTTTTGAAAAAAGATACAGAAAGGATGTATTTCTGAAGAATGTGAGGAATGTGCTTAGAGGATTATGCAATGCTACACCTTTATCTGAATTTTAATTGAAATCATATCCATCCAGATAAGCTGCTGTTTGAGCAGCAACTGGTGGTCATACCAACTACTATGAATCAGCTGTAAATCTGTATAATTATATGATATAAAGCTGAAATTTCTCAGGTAACTCCAGAATTAAATTGTCTTTAAAATGAGATATGACACACCATGTAACATTAAGTACTTTTTGCTGTAGAGGGGGGTGCCGTTGTTTTTTGACACCCTGTATATTGTTAGTACCTCAACTGAAATACTGGATTCTGATTGGCTGATTAGCGGTCAACAATATGTATTGTTAGTACCTCAGTGTAAATACTCGCATCTGATTGGTCAATTAGCGGTCAACATTTTTGCCTGTACCTCACCTGTGCATCATGGGATATCATATTATTGACGGCTTATGTTACTGTACTACACTTGTGAATTATGGGGAATATGACGTCATAATGTTTACAGAAAGAAACATGGTAGACGGACATTTCGTAAACGTTGATGAAAGTGATATTTTGACTTTGCTAGACGACAAGTATAGCAAAAATACAAAAAGAAACGAAAAATTAACATTAATTTACTAGTGAGTACGCTGCTATGTGCCAAAAACAGAGAGTTTAACTACCACTGTCTTCAGATTTTCTTAAACAATTATTGCTGGCGTGTTTCGTAGAAAAGGTTGTGAAATGAAGCCATGATTGATGACTGTCGTCTATATGTGTATTATTAGTTTCTTCTGACTAACAAAACAATTGTAGACCTCTCCATTCGGTCAACCGTCAAAATCATATACCTCGACTGTAAACCTTGAAACTACTGTTGACCTCGACCTTCGGTCTCTGTCAACAGTAGTTTCTCGGTTTACAGTCTCGGTATACAATTTTGCCAGTTTACCTCTAGATAGAGAGGTCAACAATTGTATACTGTTGACCGCTACTAGGTACTGTTAACCACTGCTTTTGAATAATAAGTTTCATGACGTCATAATGTTTACAGAAAAAACATGGTTGACAGACATTTTGTAAACGTTAATGAAAGTGATATCTATAGCAAAAATACAAATAGAAACGTAAAATTAACAACAATTTACTAATGAGAATGCATTGCTGGCGTGGTTCGGAGAAACGATTGTGAAATGAAGCCATGCCGATTGATGATTGTCGTCTATATGTCTATTATTAGTTTCTTCGGACTAACAAAACAATTGTAGACCTCTCCATTCTTCGGTCAACCGTCAAAATCATATACCGAGACTGTAGACTGAGAAACTACTGTTGACAGAGACCTCTTCGGTCAATGTCAACAGTAGTTTCTCGGTTTACAGTCTCGGTATACAATTTTGCCAGTTGACCTCTGGAGAGGTCAACAATTGTATATTGTTGACCGCTCATCAACCAATCAGAATTGAGAATTTCAACTGAGGTACTTACAATAGAACCTGTATATCCGAACACATCTCTGTCTACGTTCTGAAGGACACAGTATCAATAATGGAGTTAGTATTTGAAATTCTTATAAGATTTGTTAATGAAAAGAAAATGTGGAATGGGATCAAACACAAATGCTATAGACTCCTGAAAGGTGACTTCCTGTTTGTTTGCAATTGGAGGGAGTACTAGTATAGTATTTTGACAGTGATATATATTTCAATCTGATCAAATGAATAACAATAAAGAAAAGAAGTATCTTTTATACTACTCTCTATTATTATAAAATAGATAAATGGTGAATCTACAATTTGAGAATAAATTAAATACTGGTACATTATATACATAATACTTAATAGCTTGAAATCTATATATCCTTAATACTACTAATAGTATGAAACAATGGGTTCATATTTACTTTTAACACTTTTATCATCACATTTGAACAATATGCGTATTTAAAAGTATCTTTAGATTTCCGTTTTGGGACATATAGACAATTTGAATTAATTCAACCATCAAAATCAACTTGTACACCACAGAAATCTCAAACTTACTTCTGAATTTCATGTGATCACTTTCAACTTAGTGTCAATATACTTTGTTGTGAGTTTGATACATGTGAATGTGTTTTCATTGTACACATACAGAGGATTTTGTATTTGTGAACACACATTTACAAACACTGACAGTGTAACCTGTACATGTGGAGAAATTGATCTTAATGGTCCAATGAAACTTATATTTGAGCAACTGTTGATAACCAGAAAAAATAGCAAAATTCTAATCAAATTGCAAGCTTAAAGAAATAAAATATGTACAAAAAGATATCTTTCTTCATCATTTGCTCAATAAATATAAGTATAAAATATAATAATAGACATATAATATTCAAGGTATATACAAGTAATATACAGCACTCAAAATTCTAACTTGGTTAAAATCCCACATTTAAAAGCAACCTTTTCAAACCAGATTGGAAACTGGATTTATATACAATACACGTACATTATTTATAAGTAACTTATCAAGAGATATTTAACTATCCATGCACAAGGTATACACAATTATTGACACAAAGTTGTGCCTTAGATGTGATAAGTTATTATTTCCTTTTTGGAGGATGTTAACCATATAACTGATATACATATTCAGAATTCACATCAGAGAATATATCATATTTAAATAGACAGTACAGTATAATGCAGCTGAATGTACCATTGGTTAGTAAATACATGTACATGTACAATGGTTTCAGTTTAAAACCTCATCAAATACAATTTTAGTTGAAAGAATTATTTACATATCGGTAACTTCTTTATGTACAGTTTAAGCTTATTGGACAATGAATCCATTATCAAATATTGCATATATTTTACAGTGCATTTTGGCATGTAGTCTTAAGTTCCCTTATGGCCTGGCTAGTCTTGCATCTAACCCTTGTGACTCCACCTAAACACATCATCCCCAAAGGTTGCATGTGAAGTACAGTAGATAGGGGATGTCTATAGGCGTGATGCAGGACTAACTAAATGCCTTAAAATAAAAATTTACATTTGTTGTTGCCTTTTTGGAGTAATGTGATGAAGGTTAGACAAAGATTACAGAAGCCCTCATAAGACCACCAGTTTTTGTATCCTGGACATCAATCTGGATAGGCTTATTTCACTAACACATTTGGTCACAAGATTAATAGCCTGTTAAATAATAACAGGAAATAATTTTGAAACATAATCACAATTTTGCAATACAATTGTTAAAACCTATTACAAAACCATGTGGTTGGCAGAATTGTTCTTTACAATCTAATTCAGTTGAGACATCATTGATTGTTTATGTCATGCCATTTCCAGTCAGATCCTCAGCTTCCTAAATCACATCGCCAGCAGTTAGCATTTTACAATCACATTTCTTCCATTCAAGCAATTTGACCCAATGCCATTATGCACTTTGCATAAGATAATTCCACAGCCTATCCTGTTCTTTTAATCTTTACAAAGTTAAGAGCTGCCTGTTGTCTCATTTTTCACACCATTTTAGTATCCATCTGTTAAAGGCATTTCTTTAAACATTTGATTTGTTAAGAAAGGTGCTGGTTTACTTTATTTTATGTTGGTTCCACCCTTTTCCATCTTTAAACATATAAAAATATGACCTTCTTGATGTTTTTCTTGTACATTCTTTAATCCAGTTTTAGAGGTGATTGTTACTCAGTAATCCCAGATCATTAGAATAAGTTCACTATATACACTACTGCTTTCAAGTATACAACTTCAACTTTAACTGGATTCCTCTGAAATGGGAAAAACATCATGACTAGAAAGTTCTGCCTATAAATGATAATACATTGACTTCAATACTGGAAACGTATAACTTGAAAAAGGTGATTTGAAGATGTGTTCTATATGAAATACAAAATAATGTAAAAATATTGAACATTTGACATGCAATTGGGCAAAGCATTGATTATTACATGCAGTGCAAAAATTAGAAATAAAGAATTAGTGAAGCCAAATCATTATATGCCTCACAAATCTGTTTCCACTCCAGTAAAATTTCTTGGTAAGGTTTAAAGTGTTTCTTGCAACCTCATAAATTAATGAGTTACTTTCAAAAATATAGCTAGGATTTTGCCATTTGTTACAGACACCGACTGCAGAACGCCTAACACCAACCATCAAATAACATCAACAAATAGTTTGGAGACTAATAACAGTATCTCACCACTTGTGGTGGTGACATGAAACTGAACTGAAATAAATACAGGGTGGTCCAAAAAAAAGTGAACCCTTGCAAGCTGCTATATTTCCCTTATTACCTGCAGAAATCCTTTCATAGTTTCACATATTGTAGAGGAAGGTCTAATATTTTTGTTGGTACTATACATTTTTCTTAGTATTGAAATTTGCAGAAATTATAAGCCCTAACGAAACATCACTGAAAATGGGTAAAATGTGAACTTCAATATCTGTGATTCTTCAACCCTCCAACAATCTTCCCATGGAAATCTTTTAAGCCGGAGTCTGGGAAACCTAATGTTTTCTGACTTTGTTTGGTTTTGAATCCCACACAATATGATGTAAAAATTAGCATCCTACCTCTGTTAGTTGCAAAGTTATTGTGATCAAAGGAAATGTTCAATGTTTCCAAAGACGAGAACATCTTCGCAACATAACCCTATATGGTCTTAAAATGTCAATATCTTCATTAATCATGGACCAATTCTAATAAAATATGGCTCAAAACACTGAATATTAGATTTCCTTTTGAATTTTGTAAGATTTTATATGAAGGGCTTCTCAGATTTTGGGTCACAAGGGGTAACTTTGTCCCCCTCTACCCGTTTGTGTAGGTAACATGCCTCTAAACTGTTGAATGGTTAAAACAGCTTCAAAATGGTCAATAAAAGTGTGAAATGTGTTTTTCTGCTCAAATAGTGTCCCATTTGTCATATGGTAGGGTTTAAACTTATAATCTCTAACTGAAAGCTTTTTTAAGATCATCTAATGTGTATCAACAATTTCCATCAATCACATTGGTAAAATTTTGCACAAAATCTAATTTGAGGCATTTTTGTTTAATAAATTATGGTGTCAACACAAATTTTAGACCTTCCTCTACAAGATGTGATAATATGAGCAAATTCATGCATGTATTAAGGAAAATATAGCCTGTTGCAGGGGTTCACTTTTTTTGGACCACCCTGTAAATAATGAATCCAATTGCTAAATCAAAATGCTCGCAGATGTGTACAGTAAAAAGACTGGAAATGCATGCTTACTCTTCATATTGTGGGTGGCCAAACACAGTTTGTCAAGCTTGCTACACATAACTAGGTCATCACGGGAACGCAACATCGTGGAAAACTTCTCTGTAAGAAATCATATGAACAAAACTTGGTTAAGCTTGGCTATGCTTTTCAAAGCAACACATACTAAACAAATGCATCAACAAGAATTCCAAGACACTGGAAAACTTTGAAATGCATTACTTATCTTATAACTGTTGTAAATTGACCCATGGATTTTTTATAACTTTTTTTATAATTCCATGTCAAAAGTCTTAGAATTTTTTGTATAGGCAAAAGTTGATTTCCAGAAGAAACCTGGTCTGATGAAATATAATGAAATACTTCTTGTAAGCTGATATAGCGTAAAAATAATATGTAAATGTTACTCAATAAAGATAACACATTGGGGAATTGAAACGTCTTATCTAGTATAAAATTGCATGCACGAGATATGAATGTTGATAATTTTATCTGTTTTTATAAAATATCAGTGATTGTATTTCATAAAATGATAGACTTCCACAATTTTAAACATTGGAACCAGTGTCTGGAATTCCTGCTGTTTATTGCATTGTGAAGTTAATAAGTACAAGTTTTGGAATCATATTTTCAAGAGGCGAACATTTTGATATATCTCCAATTGAACATTGAACAGAAATTGCAGCTTTTCATGTGTGAGCAAAAATGATTTTAGTGTCCAAAATAAGCTTTGTTATTATATTAATGGAATTATATCCCAAAAGCAAATAAATGGCGCATGCAATCACACTGAATATATAATGAAGACTAAGTATGATTTTAACTCTATCTAAACTATCAAGAATAATCTAAACTGAACACACAGAAACAATACAATTGCTATCAATTCGAGAACATACATATACATGTTTTGGAGGTAAATCACTTCAAGTCATAAAATGTTAATGTCAATCTTTTCTTTCTAATGTTTTGCAGTGAACTGGAAGCATGATCTTATTTCTGGAAAATGACCTCAAGAGTCAAAATGACCAGAAATTGAAATTTCCAAGCCTTGAGATTACTTCAGCGTTAACATGATCTGGAATTGAAATGAAGGATTACCTTGATTTTCTTTAATGTTAATTTGATTCAGTATGGGTGGTGCCCCATCCACTGTGTCACCCCCTCCGGCATCTGTCATATCATTGAATGTATGGATGAGCTTAACAAATGTCTGAATCAGCACATCTGCCATCACAGCCTGCAATTATACACAAGGGAGTGCATGTAGTAAGTGGCATTATTAGCCATCAGACAATGTCTGCTTAATATACAAGTGAACAGAAAAAACAAATAGGATTTCACAAATGAACACTTATAATTATAAAAGAACATAATTATCCCTTCTCACTGAAGCATTCTCTCTTGGACCTGATAAAAAAATTAAAATTAGAAAGTTTATAAACAAATGACAAAAACATGTTTTTAGATGTAACTTTGAATGCAGTTTTCAGATTGAATAGTGGCATCTAGTTTTTTGCACCTCAATATTTTACATTTTATAAATAGAAGTCAACATAATAGGGTTCATTGACAGGAAGAAAACCTTGTTACAAACCTGATAATGGCAAAAATGTATGGAAGCATGTTCTATAAATAATAACTAGCTTATATGTAATAAGAGAATGTGGCATCTGGCTTATTGTATATGTGGCAATCAGGTATATCTATTTCTAATCGGCTATATCTGTATAACATGATATATTGTATGAGCTTTACTTAGGTAAGCTGCCAATTTAATATCAAACAGACTACAAGGTGTTTCCACTTGTGCAAATTCAATTGACATTTTAGTCAATTGGCTATGGGATTATGAAAGTGTTCATCTTAGAAGGTGTTTCACTTTTAGAGGTGTTCCATTTGATAGGTTTCATCTATATGAGAAGCAACTAAATAAGTGTAAATGTACTTATGATTGGCTTGTATTATTGCATCATTCAAGGCTGTAAAATCTAATTTAACAATTTCTGCCCTAACCATCCATATTCAACTTTGGTTTCTATATTTTATCCCATAAATGTATCCATAAATGCCTCAAAATATTTTCTTGCTTAAACTGTAAAACCATCATGTCTTAATAAACTCACTTGTTTGGAGAAGACTTGTAATATTTTTGATTCGTATTTCCCATCACCATCTAAGTCATCTTTGAACTGAATGAAGAGACACGGCAGGCAGCTTGGGTTGTACTGACTTTTAGCTGACTCCGCATACTCCCAGGAAAAGTCTTTGTACACCAACCCAAGGAGCAACCTCTGTAAGAATATGTTTTCATCAAAATATTAACATGCAAAAAGTTGGCTATTTGTGGGGTTTTAAGCAAATAAGTATCAAGAGTAATGCCATCAGGCAAATGGAAAACATTACTCCGATTATATGAAATTAACAAAAAGTATGGTATGCTATATATTTTATTGGATATAGCACTGTCACTGATCATATGCGACGGTTTGGTTGTTTTAGGCCAAATATAGAAGCCAGCCATGTTGAGCATACAATGTGTATGACAAAAGCATAAAACCGTTCAATGGATGAAATGCAATCCTTTTCCATTGGGATTCATAGGTCAAAAAAATGCATGTGTCTTTCAGGCAAATTTTAAATGCATTCATCATATTCTTTCTAATGAGCACACAGTGCAGTTTCCAAATTGAAATTTAAAAGGGGAAGATATTGAGATATTCCAATAAACACATAAAAAATAAATTCAAAAATATATGGCAGTTAATCTTTAAGTAAGTTATCACTAAGGTTTACATACTCTACAGCTCCTGCATTTCTTTCTCTGCATTGAATATAATCATCAATCGATTAATGCATTAAAGGTTGTGTTTTCTTAAGACCATATTCCGCATAAAAGTAGCATGTGCTCTCATTGGAACTGTGGGCTCATTAAAGAGAAATGGTGGATGTAGGACTACATCATTATTGTCTTTACAATGATGTAAATTCATGAAAAGTATGCACTTACTGCTTTCTCATCATCAATGATGAAGACACCTTCCTTATTCACTGCTATATACACATCCATATCTGGGTTACCAAATAGTCCAAGTCCAGATCTTGGTCGTTCAATTTGACCAGCAAAAAATGCACAACCATAATAGGGTAAATTCCAACAACACTGTAAATATTTATACTGTAAATCTTCTATGGAGTGATTGCGAAATTGATCTGATGTACTCCGGTGTTCTTGTACAAGTTGGAATTCTATTGAGTCTCTTTTGGGCTTGCCAAAAAATGTAGTTTTCGGCTTACACATGTGGTGTGGAAAAAACTGGCTCAGGTTTTCTCTGGAAAAAATGCATGAACCAATTGTAAAATCTACAAATGAAACAAGGTTAGTACAGGCTCAGTTTAATTTGTAGGAAATTGTGAAATCAATGCAATGGGAAACCAAGAAACATTACAAACATCACTATTATTAAAATACATGTTTTTGACTTGTGAATGTTACAAAATTGCAAATGAAATCTGTACAATGTACCTGTAAAAGTCAGCCGTGTGTACTACTTCATCAAACTGGCCATTCTCTATGGCACTTGCTAGACCAGCTAGGACAAAGTAGTGCTCTGTATCCCAGGGGTATCTGCCCTCTGTGATATTACTGTGAGCCTCACTGTATAGAAGCTTCAACATCTGGGGTTCCCTAATCTTCTCCTCTAGCTCCCTGGGATAATAAATGTTCCTCTGCCTGCAACAGGGTAAAATAGGGATTAAAACAGGGGAACAAGGTTTCCTAATAAATTCTACACACAATCAGTTCCATTTACATGTAGTCAGATGATTATCACCTATAATCAACAATACAACTTTGGAATCATTTCTTTTTTTTCAAAAAGTCTACTTCAAAACAAGTTGATTAACAAGGGTGGGAAAGTAGTCAAACAGTCTTTAAATAGATTACAGTTAAAAAACTAGAAATATAAAAAAGGGAAAGTTGAAAGTAATTAAAATAGAAACTATCTACAAAATATTAGTTTGTGTTTAAAGGCTATGTCCATGTCAATCCAACAATTGTATGGAAAAGATCTTACATGATCAGCACAGGTTCATCTCTCTCAATTTCCTCTTCGGATGATGTAGTATACTTCTGCAGTAACTCATCCCAGTGCTGAGTCAGGCGGAATGGCACATGGTGAGGCTTCAACTGCAACTCTGTATGAAACAATGTAGGCAGTAATTAAAATGAAATCAATGAAGAACACTAAGCCGACTTGAAGAATGACTGACCAGAAAATATGTATTACTGCTTGTCGCAATCTAGTGGCCAAGAATGGTACCCAACATCAGAAAACAAGAAATTATTAAGGAAGATGATGTGTTACAATATGTGAATAAGTAAGTGAATAAGGTTGGGACAAGCTGTAAGGCATTAATATGCAATATGTCACCACCTGCCATTTGTTACAGATACCGACCAATGAAAGCCAACTGCCACCATCCAAAAATAACAATATGTCAACACTTCTGGTGGTGACATAGTAAATCATATTATATTATATAGTTTTTTCCAAGGATGCAAAATTTGAATTCTGTGGTTAGACGTGGCTCAAGAACAATTCATCTATAGACATTTTCAGAGAAAACTGATTATCGTGAGCTGGGACATAATTTAACAACTCTCTCATGATATTTGATTCTGGAGAAATCTGATGCTAATTAAACCATATCTACAAGTGGAGTCATTTTATAGAAATAAAAAAACTGTGATCAAAAAGAAATATACTGAAGGACTACATGTTCAAGAACTGATATTTTGCAAGTGGGTAAGTAATAAAAATATGTAACTTTACAGAGGTCGAACTGACTGTTATACAAAATTGGATTTTCTGCAATATGGATGACCCTGATACAGAACAGACAGTACCTACACACTCGCAAATTGATTATACGACTATATGATGTGAACACTGAGATGGTGTTCATTCCTATTTAAAGGTCTTTCTTTAAAATAAATGAACTGCACTTAACAATTTAAATTTATTTATTTTCACTGTATTATCAATTTCAAATCCTGACCAGTGTCCACAATTAGATGGTACTGAGTGGTAATACAACTTAGTTTATAGGAAGCCAATCAGTTAGACTCAATGTTTTCCATCCTGGAAATCCATCTATATTTCTGTATGGATGCATTTTACACGATATAGGCTTATTCCAGTTTAGTTAATGAAAAACCAAATAGAGGTAGACGTTTATTCCCAAAATCAACACTTAATATTTTAAACCTTTTATTCATAAACATGTTGGAAATAGTTAAATTTACTGTTGAAAACTATGGGTATTACAACTAGCAGCTTAGGGAATTTCATATAATATAATGTAAGTGATTTAAAAACCGTGAAAACTGCATCCTGGTGAATTGTACATGTTATACAGTATACAATTGTTGACCTCTCTAGAGGTCAACCGGCAAAATTGTATACCGAGACTGTAAACCGAGAAACTACTGTTGACAGAGACCGAAGGTCGAGGTCAACAGTGTTTCAAGGTTTACAGTCGAGGTATATGATTTTGACGGTTGACCGAATGGAGAGGTCTACAATTGTTTTGTTAGTCAGAAGAAACTAATAATACTCATATATACGACAGTCATCAATTATGGCTTCGTTTCACAATCTTTTCTACGAACCACGCCAGCAATAATTTAAAAAAAATCTGAAGACAGTGGACGCTAAACTCTCTGTTTTCGGCACATAACTGCGTACTCATTAGTAAATTAATGTTAATTTTGCGTTTCTATTTGTATTGTTGCTATACTCGTAGTGTAGAAAAGTCAAAATATCACTTTCATCAACGTGTACAAAATGTCCGACTACCATGTTTTTTTCTGTAAACATTGTGACATCATATTTCCCATAATTCACAAGTGTAGTACAGTAACATACGCGGTCAATAATATGATATCCCATGATGCACAAGTGAGGTACAGGCAAAAATGTTGACCGCTAATTGACCAATCAGATGCGAGTATTTACACTGAGGTACTAACAATACTTATAGTTTTACAGCTAACTGTCTTGTCAACCCACATTCATAAGAAAGCACACAGGTATTGACATTTTAAACATTATTCAAAGAATGATACATTATTGTTGGGAGTGAGAATGTCTGGAAAATAAATATCTAAATAAGCAAAACATTTTGTTTTTCAACGTAAAATTACATTTAACGAAAAGGCATTAAAAAAATTTGGTTACTACTCGTACATCCTTCATTTTTGGTATTTAATTAGAAAAAACATAGTAAATGATTAAGAATGATTTTCTTATTGATCAATGCATGACCCAATTTGAGTTTATGCATTGAGTGCTGATCTTACCTAGGAGTGGAGATATTAGCCAAAGACAGAACACATCTCTTGCCTCACTTGGTAGAGATAGGAGCTCCATTAATTGTTCAAATACCTCCTCTGCCGTCGTACACCTACCGCCCTCTAGTGTCATTTCTAGCCCAGTCTTGTTTGCAAAGTACACACACATCTCTAACGCTGGAAATAATAAAAGTACATAATAATGATGTAAAATAGATTGATGTTAACACTTTGTGTATTTACATGTAATATAATATACTGTAGGTGTAATAGCTGGAATAAAGAGTATAATAAAATCTCGTATGATTTAAGATCAACATGAAGTTGCACATACAAAAAATTCTATGAAATTGCTGGACCTTCAATCAGGTGAATAACCATGCGATTGTTCACTCTGCAATTGTATACTTGCTATTTTCTAAGAAAGAAACAATACATTCTAAAAATGATGAATACCTTAGAGACTAAGCAAGCTGTTGCTAATGAAAGACAGACATGAACTGAGTGAAGCCCCAAGGTAACCATAACATGTAAGGAAAAGGAGGGTCAAATTATTTATTGATGCCATTTATTAGGCAGGATTTGGTGTAGATCAGTATTATAATGATAGGTGTTTGCAAATTTTACAATATTGTATAATAAATATTGATACACTTCTATTGTGTAATAATAAGCAAATATTGAATGGCTTTGAGTTGGTTACCTATTCATACATTATACAGTAAAACATATATATTAAGTACACACCTATAAAGCCACAAATGTGTTAACTATAGTTAAGTGCTCACTACAGAGAGGCAGTTTTATAGAGAATCATTGGAGTATGCGCTGAGAAGAGGTGTCCACTAGACACAGGTGTTCACAAGAGAGACGTGTTCACTAAGACACAGGTGTTCACAAGAGAGACGTGTTCACTAAGACACAGGTGTTCACTAGAGAGAGGTGTTCACCAAAAAGGGTTTTACTGTCTATAACATTTTTACTGTATATAACATTTGAAGTCACCTAATTTTGTATTGACAAAGTGTCACATTATGGAAATCATAAGCATTGTATAAATAAAAATAAAAACAAGCTATAACCTTGGACCAATAGAATATCTACAATTCAACACACATCCTAAAATATTCTCTCATTCTGATATTCTCTTATCATTAAGGTTTATCTACTCTTTGCAGTACATCACTAAAAATGATGGATATTCTTATGTTCAAGATTGAAAAAGAGAAAGAGAGGGATAACAGTATAATGCATTTGAAGAATATCCAACCAACTAAATCAAGCATGTATTTTATACATATGCATATCTGTATACCTACATACAGTTTGCTTAATAAGGTTACAAGAATGGATTTCTATATGTTTCATCCATTTTAAAAATGAATACTCAAATGTATATCAGTTTGTTCATAAAAGATTATACCATTTATTTATAAATTCAAACATTTCTTTTGTTCAATAGAACATAACTCTTGATGAAAAATGTTATTTTTATTTTAAACATCAACTATAAAATGTGTACAAGTGAATATGATGATACTATAAGCTATTGAATGAGAAATTGAGAAATTCCATATTGGAATGATGCGAAGTTGAGTGCCAATACAGAATATTGAGAACAGAATATATCCTGTATTGCACTTCAAATCATTCTATAACGTTTTTATATTGCTACTGAGAATGTCCCCTTCGTACCAATATTTTCTGTATTGCGACGGAGATGATCAATGGGGACAATCTCAGTAGCAAAACAGATTGGTACAGCACAAGAACTGACAAATCAGAAGGCTTCATTTTATAGATCATACCATAAATGCTTATATTAGTTCCAATATTGAGATTTTTGTAACATTAATGCTGCTTAATGTTAAAATGTTTACCATGGCAACAGAGCTAAAAGGGAGTGGGGTGGGATTTAAACCTTTATATGATTATATTATAACCATCTAATATATTGAAACAAATACTATAATAAACTATGGTGGGATGCTATTAAAAATATTGACCCTATCACTAAGGTTAATGCTAATGTAGTATCCCAGGTATGAAAATACATAACCCTTTGATATCATATCACACTTTATAATTATCAAAGAGAACTAATACCATTGAGATATCAGACATATTTTTCATCATTAGCTCCAGCATCGTGACATTTGCCAATAGCTGTTTCAAAAGGCACTGGGGTGATGCCAGTGCTTTCATTATCATTCCTTATAGTCATACAACACAAGACTCTTCTTTCAAGGCATCATGACCTCATATTAATGAGGCATAATAGAAATTGTTCTCCATTACAGTAAAACCTGTATATCTAAAAACCTCTCTATTCTGAACACTCAAAATGTGAACACCTGTCAATCTGAACACCCTTGGCTGGTAAAAGCAACATCGCATTGGACAGACTTTAATGTACCTTGATCATTGGTAGGATTTCTTCTGTATTTGAAACATATAACATACAGACCACATTGTAATCTTAATTTCATACCTTGTTTTTCCTTAACAGAAATGTTTGTAAATTGTTAATAATTAATTAATCAACTTCTCCACTTTCCTGGTTCATTTCTTAAACTTTTGTCAAAACATTCCGGAAAGTAGGATGAAATGGAAATATTTTCCAATAAAAATGTTAACAATAATGGTTGCTGTAACCATTCATTTTGTGAAAATAAAAGAGTTAGGTAAAATCATAAAATTGACATTTAATTAAAAAAAAGAAGCTGTACCTGACTTCATCTTCATTCCCATTTCCTCCTGTTATGATACAACAGCGCTCTCAATCATTCCTTTAAGTTCATTAAGTTTATGTCATATTATCTCTCCTGTTCAGATGTAACAGCTAATCAACTGATCATACAACTGACTATATAGTTGCCACACTCAAAATCCTAATGCAAAATTTTACATCAATAAATATGTTAATGTGTCTAATTATGATGGCGAACTGTATACTACCATGTGTTTCAATGAGTCAATGCTTGAATAAACAAAAGATCTTCCCATGTAGAAAACTCCTTTATTAATTGTCTTATTTTGATCCAAGGCTAAAAAGCACCAACCTGGATAAAATAGCTTGAAACTGAATCCAATTGCATTGATTTTAGCCATTGATTTATGTTCTGCATGTATTATGAATATCCAAATCTACGTTGTATTTGATAATAATGAGAAATTATGAATATCACAAGTATATAACAAGAACTCATCTTAAGCAATGGACATTCATTTTCACACTTGTTGTATATATATAACAAAAGGACGTCATTATATATGATTCATATCAAATATCTGAACCTGGTGACGGCATAAGGAAATATGTGGGCAGATATTATTGTAAAGGGTAGTGTAAGAACTGTTGAAGAAACTCTTAAAGTTGCCAGTACGAGGCAATGACATTAAATTCTCTTTCAAGATCATATCTATCATTGTTCCTTACTTATTTGGTCTGTTAGAGAGCATGTAATGTACAAAAGATAATGGGGTGAATTGATGATATATTTCTTGAAGAAACAATCTCAAAAATATCTTATATGAATGAGAGATGGTGATAATGCAGAGAGTGCATTTCCATATTTATTACATATTTCAATAACTTTATATCTAAGAAAAATGTATTTTATTCAGCCTGACATATGTTTAAAATGATGTGTGTATTTAAGGTTATCACTGATTTAAGGATTTAAGCCCTGGACTTTCTTCAATGACCATTCTTAAAGGTTTTGCTCTCCAAAATTTACAACAAGATGCGAGAGCATCGAGTGTTAATTTGAGGAAACAACACCTAAAAGGGAAGGTCAATGCATTGAGTTTTGGGCTTAAATTATTTTTACACAAAATGTTTCTATAAAATTATCTTAAAGGTACAAAATCACTAAAAGAAGATATTTTCAATGAAACCTTTTGCAAGGGTCAAGTCGGCAAAGTATCAGTTTCAATTTGTTGAGTCCAGTTGTTACCTTGAAAATGGTTGAATTAGTGACCTTGAGTTAGGTATTGGTTATATCATGGAATGCAGTTATGTGAAACAGCATATGCTGATTGGCTGCAATCGGAAACACCTTGTCTAGCTATTTATGAAGGATATTTTTCGATTCATGAACAAAAAAATCCTAAATAAGATCTTTTGGGCAATATAAGTTGGAGTCATTTTGAATTGTTGAAACAATATCATTGAAATTACTCTTACAATTTGTGTACTCAGTTTACTCAATAGTTTAAAATATTACCAATTTACACCATTACCTTTTTGCATCAAGTGCTCTATAATGCCTGGGTCACATTTGCTCCGATTCATCAGCTGGCACCCGTCCGATTGAGTGATTTGTTCAAAATTCTATTCGGTTTTAAACAAAATACTCAATCAGCCAGCGCCCGACTGATGAATCGGGGCAAATGTAGCCCAGGCATTACAGACCAAACAAATAAAAAATATGAAAAATATAAAATAAGTGAACATAAACTATTCCATATTGAGGTCGTAAAATTCCAAAACTGGCAACAACATAAACATGAAGGATACAATGAGCTATGAGAATTTGTGATAAGCAATCTGAATCCAGTTTTAATAAAGGAATTAACACATATTATCTCATTTCCTTAGGATTTATTATTTGGGACATCTCCTTTGAGATTTTGGAAGTGCATTGTGCGTTTATTAGCGAAGATATGGTAAGTGATGTATGACTTATGAAAGACATTGATGAACATCATTTTAATTGAAATGGTCAATATTTACACTTAATTGGTGAAACGGAAGTTATGGACTTTTAGCACAAGGCATGTATACATACCATGTGTATCAATAATCAATTTGGATGGTAATTATTTGTTAATGCATAATCATATTTGGTGAATGAAGAGTAAGGCTTAAGTAGCCAATATAGGTACATGTAGAATGATATAATGTCCAGAAAGCAGTCTCACATGCTATGAATGTTTTTACAATGAATAATAGTTATAAATAATTGTTCAAACATTTTGTGGGAGGAGACTTCTAAAAGCTTCCTAACCAGCTAAATTTTTAATGAGAGGTTATATGTTTTCTGGTAATTTCATCAAATTTAAAGCGGCAACAAGGACTGTGAAGAGAAAAATGGATAGATTTTACCTTTTCTGAGCTATCAGGGCGAAGTTTGATCTTACATCTTTTTCCTTATTCCTATTTTATTAAAATGTATGCATATGGCAATATTCATCAACCAGTAGAACTGACAAATCGTTCAGAATCTATAATTCTATACAAGGAGTCCCACTCATAGATTTTTCAAATTCTTTCCAAGTCACCGTCGAAACACCTAGCGGGTGAAATTGAAACTAATTTTTCTGGCTGCTCGAGTCGATAAAATCTCTGATAGTGTGAGTCTTTTTATAAAAACATTTCTTGTAGAAATTAATTTGACGATTATTAGAAAGCATTAAAAGTCGAAACGAAAGTGTAATCTGAACTTAAAGTGAAAACATTGCGCAAACGTTAGAGAACACCATTATCGATCAATATAAGGTATGTGCACAAATTCTAGTTGCATACATGGAAAATAGAAACATTTTTAAAGGCTATAACACATTCAAAGCTTTCATTTTACGATAGGCCCAGGCTCACTGGATGCGACTCGGCAGTCCATGCTACTACTTTAATGGTAGCAAAATTGATCAAGAAATACCTTTAAATTGTCAGCAACCAAATGCTAATTAGTAAATGTTATTAACATTAGGAAATGATAATTTATATAATTATATGGGGACAAGGAAGATGTTCAATAACATTGGTGGATGATCATTAGCATTGGAAGATGATCATTAACATTGGAAAATGATTAATAATATTGATAAAGATGAGCATTTAACATTGGTGTATGATCATTAACATTGGAAAATGATTATTAACATTGACAAAGATGACCATTAACATTGTTGTATGATCATTAATATTGGAAGATGATCAATAACATTGGTGGATGATAATTAATATTGGAAGATGATCATTAACATTGGAAAATGATTATTAGCATTGAAAACAATGACCAGTAACATCAGTGGATGATAATCAACATGGATAAATGTCCAATTACCCAAATGCGAGTAGGTAGTTACCAGTTTCACCACCAGGTGGCTGATTCGGGTCAATTAACATGGCAGGTATATAAGAAAGTTCCCTTAAACTTGAATATTATCAATTTAAGTGGCTCAATTTTCATATAACCCTTATGTGTCTGATACTTATACTAATGAAAATATGTTCAGTAAAGCAAAATATTATCTGTCCACTAAAAGAAAAGATATTTCATTTTTTGTGATTTTATAGCATGGGGTCTATGGGGAATCTCCCCGAGCTAGAAGTCACATTTTCAAAGAAAATTAATTTTTCAAAGTTGATAAACACTTTTTTAAACCACATTTCTAGATGTAATTTTACATGTAGATTTCAAATATGATATTACTTTGACTGAATTTTGAATTTTTAATGACGTAAATCAAGATCATTTCTACTCGCATCTGGGTTATTGGTTCATAACTTTTTAATTAATAATTAGACACATAAATTCTGTCAATGGTTAATTCATTTTGCTGAATAGTACTATATTCTATTGAATTGTTTATGTATAATTCAAATTATATTCATTGTACATTGGATAATATGTAACTTTTTCACAAGAAAGAATATTAGAAATATGTATTTAATTAATAAAAATCATTACCTATTGTCAAAGGATATGTCTTCCCGAATCCAGGTACAACATGTAATTTACAAAGATGGTCCTTCATATTCATGAAGAAAATTGGATAACTGTTTATGTAATTACTGGCATGTTATCCTTTTATAAATAAATAATCTTCTTTTGATTATTCAATCATTGTTTGTAATTATAACATCTTAATTAAGATCCATTCTGCTTGAATTCTTGTAGATTGATTTAATATCAAATTGATTTATAAATATCCATCAAACGAATCTCTTAAAAATCCCAACATCAGTTTATATGTTTTTGTAACGTGTATGTAGCGCAATGGAAATGATGTTTACTGGTATGATTTCAATTTACAGTGAATGTTATCGAACCGTACCAGGATATATGCTGAGAGGATATATCTATCGCAAAACTCTTCCACTAATTAATCTTTCTGATTATACATATAATAGTACATTCCATCAAGTAAATCAATGAAAATAAAAACACAATCTAATCCATATGATAGCACTCGTTTTATGGATTGCATATCATGTTTTTGGCAAATATAAAAGAATTTTGAGTGATTGTACTTCATATACTGGAATTTTTCTGAGAGGGTTCATACGGTAGGCCCAAAAACAAGAGCAATCCAGAAGGTGATTTTGAATCACTGAATAGCGTAATACAATTCTAGTTCGGACCATAATATGACAACTTAAGATGGGAAATGCCTAATAAAAGAACATAAAGAATTTCTAACTGTTGGCATGTACCAGAATGATTTTTGAAATGAGGTATTCTAAGTATGATTTATATATATTATGTTCTAGTAATAGAAAAGAAGAAATTAAGAAATATGCCAAAAGCACATGTAATCACTTTGTGTTGACACAAAGTCATATCAAGAAAATGTTTATAGAGCCCTCCTCAAGATCCCTCCGAGGCTAAAGAGCTGACACTAAGGCCTTGAGATATACTCATTCAGTACATACTCAGCAGTCTTGATGATATTAACAAAGGGGCCAGAAGTAGAGAACTGTATATCTTATCTGACAATGAAAGATTCTAATTATTTTTGAATTTGATTTTCGTATCAATATAAAAGTCTGTCAAATAACTTTGACATCCAACATCAAGACATCTAAAGCATGAAGAATTTTTGTATAACTATTGCAACAATAGACATAAATGTACATGTACAACAACAAAATATAGCAAGCTACACATTGAATACAGAAGGGAACAAAAGTTATAGCAAAATTAGCAATACTATAATTTATGCATTGTTACAAATAAGGTGACCTGTCACCTTGTATTGGTACAGGATCGATCAACTTCATAGCAATACAGATTGGTACAGCATAAGAACTGACCAATCAGAGGGCTTTATTTTAAAGATCTTACGCAAAAATAGCAGTGACAAAAAGCTTTACGAAAACTAGAAAGCAGAATTAAGAACCAGGTGGGCATTAACAGAAACTTCTTAAAGTTAAGAATTAATTAAATCCATTGTTCTCTAACTATGACGTCATTATATCCATGGTTACAACAATTGATTTACTCATTCGTAACTTTACTAAGTTTCTGTTAATGACCCCCAGATTCATCACATGTAGAATACTGATATAAAAGGCAAAGCATTAGCATTGTCAGATTGTCACTACCTGGTAAGTTACTGCAAGGGTTACAAGAGTGTAACAATTTGTTACAGATGCAGACTCTGAATGCTGACCACAAAAATGGTGGCCATTACAATATGTTGTCACTTCTTGGTGGTGACATAATATAAAAATATAATTCATAATTTTAAGCTCATAATATAGGATCTGTAAAGCTTACAAATTCATTACTAATAGCAGACAACATGATAGAATTTGATAAATGTACATAAAATACAACATAGAAATAGCTGGTAACCTTACCCTTAGTGCAACTGAGGCATCCTTCTAAAAAGTTTGCTTTTAAAACAATTATCTCTTATTTTGAAACTGCATTTAAATATTTAAGCATTATGGGACTATTTCAAGTTTCCATTTCATTAATTCCATGTCAACAAAAACAATAAAAACAGGAGTTGATTTTTCTGACACAAGTCATCTTTGCCAGCATGAAAGAGCTGGTAACTCATCTACAAAATATTCAGTTTGGTGCATTTAAAAGCAGTCCAGAACAAATATGGGTGAACCAGTGTTTTGAATTACTTTGGTCTAAAAGGGTACAAAATTAGACTAAATACATTCTACCCTCAACCCTGGATCAATATTATCCGAATGTCTAGATATAATATAAAGAATATTGACCTGTTGGAATGTTAATTTCTGTCTGAGCTAACTATATGACACTTGGTAAAACTACTTACGTTTAGCCGATGCATCTGACATTGCACTAGTCATTCCGTAGCTATCGGGACGTGTGGCAGTGATGTAGCTCTTCTGTCTTGATGCGGAAGAGTCTATCGTGATCTTCGGGAGAAGTTTGTCCTTTTCGTTCTTCTCTGTAAAAAGCTTTTATCATTAAAGATTTAATCAACAACCCAAATTAGTCCTGTTAGAAATGTTTTTAAGCTTAGAAAATGATAGAAACATATTGTTGTCATGACACACATTTTCAAATGCTAAATCCCTGGAAAAAGATTGAATAATAATTCTTAGATAGAAAAAAATCATACTTATCATCTGAATCTTCCTACTTGCCATCTTAATCCAATATCATAAACTTTCAAACTGTCTCTATCTTAAAATGACCAAACATTAATCTGACAAAATCCTAATGATTATTTATAATTTTAAATCCATTCTTATAAGGAAGTGTTGAAGTGACAGTAAAGAAACCATAATGTTTGTTCACTGACACATTTTCCCTATCAAACTTTTTGAAACCAAAAATCTCAAAATTCAAAACTGATTCAAAAATCGATGACTCATATAGTTAACAAGCCTTATGTATAAATATATTCTACATTAACATACATGTTATTTCTATTGGTACAAGCCAAAAAGTTTTTAGTATGAGGAAGTCTGAAAGAAAGCAAACACACAAGAGAGCATGAACATAAAGTACTTCACTGCAGACATTTCTTTGAATTCTTACACTGTTTGTGAGAGAAATGTATTTTATTGTAGTATTATTAAAAAATAAATAGGGATCTATTGAAGTGGTCTAAACTTGTTGAGATTTTTCAAATGGTATTTTAATCCTTGCACATAAAAAGACATTTAATACTTTAATTCTCAATATTCCAGATGCGAGTAGAAATAATCTTGATTTACGTCATTAAAAATTCACAATTCAGTCAAACTGATGTCATATTTGAGATCTTCATGTAAAATTACATTTAGAAATGTGGTTTTGAAAAGAGTTTTTCAACTTTGAAAATTTAATTTTCTTTGAAAATATGACTTCTACGTCGGGGAGATTCCCCATAGACCCCATATTGTAAAACCACAAAAAGTGAAACATCTTTTCTTGTGTTGGGCAGATAGTATTTTCTTTTACTGGACATATTTTAATTTGTATAACTATCAGATACATAAGGGTAACACGAAAAGTGAACCACTAAAACTGATGCACATTCAAGTTTAAGGGAATTTTGTAATACCCTGCCATGTTAATTCCCCCGAATCAGCCACCTGGTGGCGAAACTGGTAACTACCTACTCGCATCTGAGTAATTCCCCCTGTAAATCAAAATACATGACTTAGTACATTAAAAATTAATAATGAGAGGGGTTTAAACAATATAAATGGTACAAGAAGGTTCATGCACCTGTCTATAACAGGCAGTTAGCCTAGATTCAAACCACTAAGGCCAACATCAGAAAACACTAATGGGCAGTCCAAGGTTCACCGAAATAGAACAAGAAAAAGAAAATATGAAAAACACATAATACACACAGAAATAGTTAACAGTGATTTTAAAGTTATATTATAGCATTAAGCACACAAATGAACTATTTTTTACCTTCATTTCGAAAGAGAATGTACACCAAGTAAGTTAATAATAAAGCAAACAAAAACAGGAAGTGAATAGTTTGGGAATGGTAAGTTAAGGGTGCAGACTACCAAAACATTTGCATAAGGAACATATAACACAAGCTCACACATTGTTACTGTTTAGCTTCAGTGTATGCATCTTTAATTTGCATGCTAGAGTAAGTGACACTAGTTTGCCATTCTTCATTATACTATTAACTTGGTAAAATGTAGATAGGCAATCTAAGCTCTCAAATAAAAACTTAGATTTGATTGTTTACAAGTGTAGTTGAAATTATTTTAATCATTTTTAATCAAAAAGGCACAGGGTGAACAATATCGTACCTAAAACATAGCAGTGTGGGCTTGTTGACCCAGAAAGCAAGATGGTCACCGAAAAATTAATCAGCTCTAGAACTTCTTACCTTGTAACATGTGTAAAAATTTGAAGTAATTCCGTTGAGTGGTTTTCCTGGAATCGCGTTGACAAGATTTATCTAAAAACTTCCAAAATGGCCGTCAGAATGGATGATGGCCACCGAAAAGTTAATGAGCTCTAGAACTTCTTACCATGTAACATGTGTGAACATTTGAAGTAAATCATTAAAGTGGTTTTCTTGTCATTGCAATGACAAGATCTATTCAAAAACTTCCAAAATGGCCGCCAGAATGCAAGATAGCTGCTGAAAAGTTAATCAGCTCTACCAATGCAACATGTGTGAAAAGTTGAAGTAAATCCGTTAAGTGGTTTTCCTGGAATTGCGGTGACATATCTAAAAACTTCAAAATGGCTGCCAGAATCCAATATGGCTACCGTAAAGTTAATCACTCAAGAATTTCTTACAATGTAACATTTGTGAAAATGTGAAGAAAATTTGTAAAGTGGTTTTCCTGGAATCGCAATGAAAAGAAAAGTGAGATGCCGCCACCCGCAATATAGACGATATCATACTATACCATTTTAGGTACGATAAAAATACAGTAAAATATAATGATTTTGATAACATTTTTGTCAAGTCGCTTTAGAGAATGTTATAAAGCCAATGTCTAAATAAGTTAAAAATAACAGCTTATTATAGTTGACTTTCAATATGAATTTTATTCCAGTGTAATATATTGACCGAAGGAAATATGATATTGACCAAATGAGCATGAGCATAGAGAGTGAGTGTCAATATGATATTTACCTAACTACAAAGCTTGTTTTTTACTAATTTTGAGAAATGAGGAAAACCAATCAACAATTTTATGCACAAATAAAATATTTTACAAATAAATTGAGGGGTTGCCCCCAACTGAGATATATTCTGTGGATATACAATGGCCTGATCTGTTTACATGTGTCTATATGTAGCCATGTATACAGTATATAGTATAGAAAAAGGCTATAATTAAATGAATAAATAAACACAGTGTTCACGTTTCAAAGTGAATTTTGTTTGAGGCATTTGAAATATTGGAAACCAAGGGTTGGACACTTTGAAAAAGAAGCCATTGACCCCATCTGATCAGTGATCACCACATTCGTCCATCAATCTTAAAAGAAATAAAAAACATTATCCTATGCCAAGTAGAGTTTTAGGGAGATAAGTTGGTAAGATATATCCCGTATTGAGGTTTCCATATCCTGAACCTCCATATCTCCCGCCATATCTCCCGCTCCAGCGCATATCTTCCCGCTTCGAAAAAAAAAATTTAAATTTTTTTTAAAAAATTGAAAAAAAGAAAAAATGTGAAAAAAATTTAAAAAATTAAAATTTGAAAAAATTGAAAGAAATTAGAAAAATGTGAAAAAATTGAAAAAATCGAAAGAAAATTAGAAAACTCTACTTGGTATAGGATAAAGCAGTTATGTACGGTCGGTTTGGATATTGGGTTCATCCCTCGTGAGGTATGCACATCTACCTTCGGTCCCTACGGTCCCTCAGGTAGATATGCATATCTCCCTCTGGATAAACCCCATATCCAAAACCTCCCAGTACATAACCCTTATTTATCCTCTCTCAATATATGAAAACCATGAACTAATAAACACTGTATTTATTTATTTCTACTCTGGCCTAAGCCAATGTTAGAAGTAAGAGTGATGTTAAGTGTTGTAATCAACAAGACAGGAGTGATAGTAAGGCAGTACATGCAGACATTATACCTTTGTTTCGCATCATATTTTGACGTTTTTGATAGAGATCTGATTTCTCTGAGTCAGCAGGAACAACATCTATAAATAAAGCGCTTTACAATTCAAAGACATGCCCAGTAAAAAGTCTGAGTTTTTATTGTACTCGGCCATCATAACTTCTCCAATTTACATTTGTATTGAAAAAGTGCAAAAGTTAAAATTTGTAGGTATGAGATACATCAGTTAAATGCAGATTTAAGCATGGGCTTTCAACAGATTTTAGATATGAGATTCATCCTGAGGAGCCTTTATCTAGGACCTCCCATTAAAAAGCTTTTATGGATGTAATATTCTTTATTCCTTTCACAGTCAGTAATTATAATGACATTCCAATACATGCCAGAGTTTACACAGAGATGTCAAAATTTATTTTGCAGCTCTGCATCCATGAATATACTTTTAAAAAGAATGGGTAATAAAAATCCATTTTAAAATTGCATGAACATATAATAAGAAATATATTTCACAAAGAGTAGTATACAAATAACATGACATCATGAATGGGTGCTATGTAAAAATAGACACAGGTGACAAACAATATAAGAAACTAAATCCAATCACTTCTATAGATAAGTGGCCCATTTCACAAATATATTTCAACCATCCTGATTTTGAAATTTCAATTACATTTAATGATATATGATACAGTTGTTGCAAAAATATCAGAAACACAGATGATTTTACAAATACAATAAGTACCAGTCTTTTTCCTCCTAGGTTTATATGTTAAACCGCCCAATGTATCTTTGAACTCTATTTTCTAATCCCGAAATAAAAGAATAAAAGAAAAACTGATAATGTAAATGGATATGTACCTTGACTATTTTCTATATTTCAGAAAATTTTCAATTTAATCTCTCACTAATAATAGGTCAAAAATGATGTTAAATTTGTTGAATTTAAAAAAAAGGTATAACCCATATAAACCAATGGCAGGGCTTGCATTAACGGCGTCCCGTACATGTTAAGGACTCAAAAATAATTTGGAGGACGCAAAAATTGAAAATATTTCCGTTTTTTGGACGCAAATTTTTTTTAGGTCAATACTACAATGTGTTTACGACGATACCTAACAAAAACAAATAATTATGATCTCTCACCTTTATTTGAATCGTAAATAAGGCTCAACATGTTGAATATTTACAAATAATCATGATTCTCTCAAATTTTTTCGACTTTGTTTATTTTTAGATTTGAAACCATGACACGCCACAGTTTTTCCTATTCAGAAACAAATATGAGTTATTCATGAAATAAAATGTATTCATTGTCGAATGAACGAACATGCATTTATTCAGTCCGTACTTAACGTTTACTTCCGTTTTAAATTCGCGGCAAGAAATCAAAAACTGAAAATATGACAAGTAAGGTTAGAACATACATTCCCGAATGGGAAACAGAGTTCGATTGGTTACAGCCAGTTAGGAAAGAAAACTCCAATATTATTATCGGAATGAAGTGTGACATTTGTACGCGATGTACCAAAGGAAACAAATTCGCCCAAAAAACAGGATGTGCAGAATTCCAACATTCTTCATTAACAAGGCATGCCACCTCAAAACAACACGATGATGCCAAAAGTAGGGGACATACTTTTTTTTCAAAGGACACACTTTTTTTTTAAAAATTGCGTCCTTGGGACTCACAAATTTTCTAACCTAATGCAAGCGCTGAATGGGAAATGGTTGGGTTGCCAAAAGTCATGTGAGAAAATATCCACCCATCCAAAAATGAAATTCAAATAGAAAATTGAATTTGCTAACTTGTACATAACAAAACATTGATTTGTTTCTCCAGGTTTTACAAAGTTATGAGTATCAAAAGTCAAAATTATTTCTCAATAAACCTCTCATTGAAATAACACAGGGGGTCAAAAATGAGTTGTCAAAAATACTTTGATGCTCTATCGGAAATTCTCACAAAGTAAGCTTAACATTAAAAATACAGAAAGTAAAACAATTCAATCGTCTACTCAGAAATTATTTCTAATAAATGTTTTACTGAATAGAAATCCCAAAATCTGATCTGCCATTAACCCACCATTTCCCACTGGTTAACATGGGTTCTACCATTCTTTTAAATTCCTCAACTTTGACATCAATTTTTTACCTATTGTAATAGGGAGATTAAATTTTTAATTTCCTGAAAGAAAATAGAGATAAGATACATACCCATTTACATTATCAGTTTTTCATTTGTTTCGGGCTTAAAAAAGAGTTCAAAGATACATGGGGTTTAACATGTAAATCTATGAGGAAAAAGACTGGTCCTTAACTTTTTTTGAGGAAATAGAATTGTGCATAAAATAAGCATTAATAAATAAGAATTATATTTAGTATTATGATGTATGAGTAATTTAGCTTGCATGCATGCCACTGCTTATAGTATAATATAAAATACAATGTGAACCTACAGAGACAGATAGAAAACATGTTATAACAAACTAAAGATATGAAAATAATGATAATGATGTGAACACAAACTCAAAAAGCTTTTATTGGAAACAGTATAGTGCAAATCTAGCAAAATAATACTTAATAATGTAGCTTGAAGAATGAAAATGGGCTTTTTGAAATACCACCATTTATATTTAGGGTGATATATATATAGAGATTATCCTATATGAGGTTCAGGATATTGGGATTATCCCGAGGCTAATATAATATATTTGCCCGAGGGCCGCGGGTCCCGAGGGAAAATATATTATATTGGCCAAGGGATAATCCCAATATCCTGAACCGACTATAGGATAATATGTTTATCCCATACCAATCTTGGTCATCTGGTTCACATTGTTCAGTCGTGGAAATATTTTAGAATAATCATGTCCAGTTTTGTTTTCCTGTTCTCACAAATATTCCCGCCTTTATTTTCTCGAATTTTTGATTGATTAAGTGAATGCTCCTTCCCTCTTTAAACCATCAAACAGATCCCGATTGTCTGTGTTTTCTCCATTGTCGTTTACAGTCATTACGCGAGCGTTACAAATTATGAACAAATATGCGAGCGGTGATTATGACGTAGCGGGCAGATATACTATATCTGCCTGCTCGGAGCGGGACGTAAAGCTATATCTGCCCACTGATGAAAATATAAGTTTTTACAAACCGGCTTTATGTACCTGTAACACGTCCAAGTATGGGATAAATATATATATATCATTTATATTTAATACACCGCAGAACAGTCTTTTGATAGTTCTTAAAATTCTGCATTTTGTGTTTTCTGATTCAGGTTATCTAAAAGCTTGGAAAAATAATTGACTTCTTTGACATTAGACACTTTATCTTAAGTTCATAATTTAAAAAAAAACAGTTTAAGACATTTTGCACCAAGTTTAGTAAAACATGATGAGAACATAGCATATAATAGTAAGTGGTATGGATTTCTCTGAAATATCTTAACCTCTCTTGGTTATATGGTCCGTATAATACCTTTATCATATTTTGGTTTACCCGATCCCTTCTCATCTCAAAAGGTATGATTCTTTGTCAGATCAGATTCTGTAATATTATAAGATTAATTTATCTGTTATGAATCACTGAAATAAAAAACTTTTCCAAGAAAGAGTTTATTTAAAGGTTTGATGTAAAATGTTTGGCAAGAATCCAGGGGTAAGAGATATGTTTATGCAATCTATGAGAGCAAATGTAAGTCAAACCAGAACAACGGCAACGCCAAAGTGTAGCGAATCCCATCGAACAGCCATGGATGGCATTTTTACAAACAAAGTATATAGCAAAAATGGCAGGCATTTTTCAAAATGGCCACCTTCTACCAAAAGTGTCATTAGACCATTTGCCATACTTATAGTATTCACATACCAAATATGAACAAAATCGCTCCACTACTTTTTGAGTTATAGTAAAATACGTTAAAATGGCGGCCATTTTGAAAAATGGCCGCCTTCTACCAAAAGTGTCATTAGACAGTGTGCCATGCTTACAGTATTCACATACCAAATATGAACAAAATCGCTTTAATACTTTTCGAATTATTATAAAATACATTAAAATGGCGGTCATTTTTCAAAATTTTTTTCAAAATGGCCACCTTCTACTAAAAGTGTCTAAGGATAGTGTGTCATGCTTTTAGTATTCACATACCAAATATGAACAAAATCACTCCACTACTTTTCGAGTTATAGTAAAATACGTTAAAATGGCGGCCATTTTGAAAAATGGCCGCCTTCTACCAAAAGTGTCATTAGACAGTGTGCCATCCTTATAGTATTCACATACCAAATATGAACAAAATTGCTTCACTACTTTTCGAGTTATAGTAAAATAGGTTAAAAAGGCGGCCATTTTTCAAAATGGCGGCCATTTTTTAAAATGGCCACCTTCTACCAAAAGTGTCTTTAGACAGTGTGCAATGTTTATAGTATTCACATACCAAATATGAACAAAATCCCTCCACTACATTTCGAGTTACAGCAAAAATCGTAAAGTAACGAGTAAAGGCCGCCATTTTTCAAGATGGCTGCCATGTGCTTCTTTAATATCTACATTTCTAGCTTTATTAATGTCCTATATAATTTTTTTACATCTAAAACATATTGCTATTACAGTTTTACATATTGCACCTAAATTACTTTAAATTCGGCACTAAAATGGCCACCATTTTGAAATGAGCGGACATTTTGAAAATCGTCTTTTGAGCAGAACTTCTACCCCAATAGGGTATATGTGTACAAAGTATGAACAAAATCGGGCCAACGGTATTTGAGTTATTGCCCGGACGGACGGACGGACGGACATACGGACGGACGGAGGGACGGACAGACGGACGGACGGAGGGACGGACAGACGGACGGACGCGTTCCCTATATCCCTCCGAACTTCGTTCGATGGGATAACTATTCTCTAAATCATAATATCCTGGTAAAGTAGGCATTGAGATGGAGTATTCCATTGATTCAACTCAAGGGGCAAAACTAAGGAAAACAGAGAAATCAGCAATATCATCCCATGACCCATACTGGAGCAATACTGTAGTTCTATGATCCTAAAACCTCATGGTCGAAAAAGCAAGCCACAATATGACTCAACAAAAAAATGATGTTAAACCCTGAACAAAATCTTGCATCGTAATACATGTAATATATCTATTATATATACTAGCTAATCTATACTAAATGTATGTCAAATCTAAACCTGCCATCCCCAAGATAGATCACACTCACTGTAGAATATATTGACAGATTTCTAATATTGTACATTAATTGCATACAGAGCATATTTTTGCTACTTTTTAGAAATGCTGTAATCACATCAGCACTGAAGCAAGTGGGGAAATTTTGCTCATACCCAATAGGAAACCCATTTTCACACATTTGAAAGTGGAAAAATCATTAAAACTTTGATCAACGTTGTGAAAATAAGAATTTCGCACCAACTTGAGGATATATCCTGGAGAGATTTTGTGATTGTGTGGATAATTAATGTAATATACATACATACATATAAAAATATGCTCTAAGACAAATAAATAAATAATTTTAGGAACTGTATTGAAATCATGTTATTTGAACTGATATTTTGACAAGCTTCATGCAATGTGAAGACAAGCTTTCTAAGCTGAGACAACATTGATTAACAGTGACCTATGACCAGCTTAATCTACAAAGGGGGATGGGATCAAATTAAATCTGATGTAGGAACGAATTAAGGCTTGTCAAAGAGCATGATGCTCTAATATATTATAAGTTGCAGAAAAGTTAAAGTGATGTTTATGAAAATCTGATATTTGCTATATCTAGCTACCTTTGCATTTAGCTGGGAGGGTAGTCGAGCTGAAACCCCCACTCTCTGTTGTCATGGTAACTCCATCACTGGCTTTCATGTAATTTAGCAAAGATTTCTATTTAATCAACCACTATGGATGACATTGGTATGATTTCATGTTAAGTTGATTACAAAGCCAATTTTTTCATTACAATTTGAATTTCAACTGGGAACAAATGTAATTATTCTAGCCTAGGTTAGAGTGTCTGAATTTCAAAATCAACTATACCAGTAGATGTTAACCAGTTTAGGATGATGTCTATACTTGTTTGTTTACAGTAGATATAAACATCATATTCCTGGAAAAAGGTCATGTGACCTTATCAATGGCAAGTGTTTTTCAGCATGAATATTTCCACTTTGTTTCTTATCAAGATGAAGTTTGTCAGATGGGTTATTAATTTTGATCATCTCCAATTTGGCAGTTTGGACTGTATTTCAGTTCCATATGTTGAGTTTTACTTGAAATGGTGAACATTGATTTGTAGTAAAGGTAAAATAAATAGATATCAATATCTTAATTCAATTTATAAAAAACAACCATCTTCAAATCCTGGCAAAATTACATGAATACTCGTATCTACAAATGTGCCAAATACTAATAATACAACAAATAAACTTCAAACAACACAATGCTAAAGTCCTTATAAAGTCTCTTACTCTAAATGAATTTATGGTATCAGGTATATAGAATCAAAGTTTTTCTCATTGCAATTAAAAACATGACTTCAGCAGTGGGATATTTCTCATGGGGCTCCAAATGGGGTAGTTTTGATTCCCTTTATCTCAATTCAAGATATCACACATTTCACTTTGATTTAATAGCCATATTTATCTGATTCCTTAATGCAATGGTGACAAAATAATGATGCTCAAATTTAAAACATTTTATAAAAATGAGGGACTAAAAATGTGATGCAAAAGAGCCTCATTATTATGATTTCTCATTTCATTTCATTTTGTTGCAATTTGTCCATTTTTAATAACCTTAATTCCTTTCATTACTTCAAAAACCCTTTCTCACCTTGTTATACCTCCCATCAGGAGTCCACTTAGTTTATTTGTCCTTATCCTGGCATGTTTCCCAGAATGTTGATTAGGAATATCTCAATTGGGGCTTATAACATTTTTTCTTAGTAGTAGATAGACAATCTAGCTGGTTGGCAAAATCTACTTCATGAATGCTCAACAATTGACACAATCCCAACAAATTACATTTAATATTAACATAATGTTGCGAAAATATAAAACTAGTGGAAAATAATCTTCAGTAAAACCTGTCTAATTTGAACGCCATGGGGAACTACTGAAAACATTTGGATTAGGAGCTGTTCAGATTTCAAGATTTAACATGGATGTCACTTGGAGGAAAAGGGACTGGAAAAAAGTGTTCATATTGGATGATGTTCGGATTAGCCAGGTGTTTGGATATACATGTTTCACCGTAATACTGAACAATATCCCATCAAAACGCAAACTGCAGTTCTCATTTATAGCTTTATTATCAGACTACAGAAATCTGTAAGTCTACGCCTAAATCATGAAAATCAAGAAACATTCCATGGCAACTGCTGAGAATTTAATTTTGTATTGTAAAATAAATTTGATATCAGAAAATCAACACTACCAACAAAATGAAGCTTGCTAAAAGAATCACCTGTGTTCAAAACAATTTGTGGTTTGGTGTTCATTGATGTTCTGATCCTTTCCCTAACATAAAGGTAATTTTGTCTATAAATAACATGAAAGAGACAGACAATTGCAAATTAAGAGCAGAAGCAATAAAGGCAATGTCTCTACCTGTATCATCCAATGTGCTCCCTTGAAGGGCTTTGTTATGCTCCCCATCCTCTTCATCTCCAGTTCCATCAACTGGAACTGTCTTAATGTCAATAGCAGCTTTATCCTGGAACATTGTAAAACTTCATTAAGGGCATTATTCACACATGTAGCATGTCTTACAAGATGGGGAAGGGCATCAGGAAGCAACAGTGAAAGACAATCAAGTTATGAACCTCTTTGACATGTATCAGCAGATAACAGTTTCTTCCTGGAAAAGAAAGTATTTTATTCTCTCCAGCTTAGTGCCAACAAATAGTTCTAAAAAGCAGACCCGCTGTCCTGTTGGATTCTAGCAATAGTATCCAAGGTGAATCTACTTGTTGAGACGCGATCAACTTGAGTTCTTCTGAGAAAATTAGGATTTCAGCAAGGGTGCATTGACTTTACATAGGGCCATACACGATTGACCAAGGTTATATATATTTTACAAGTGGATCCAAGAGACCAGGTGGACAAGTCCATTATTTTGCAGAGGTGGCAGGCTATGGCCTTAAGTGAAGATCTGTGCCCAATGAACACATGAGTCTTCTGTATTGAACACCTGTGTGTAAGTGAACACCGATTCCCAGCCAGTGATTTCAGTACAGTAAAAATGTCATAATGAACACCTCTTAAGCGAAGATCTGTACCCAGTGAACACATGAGTCTACTGCATTGAACACCTGTGTGTTAGTAAACACCGATTCCCAGCAAGTGATTTCAGTACAGTAAAAATGTCATAATGAACACCTCTTAAGCGAAGATCTGTACCCAGTGAACACATGAGTCTACTGTATTGAACACCTATGTGTAAGTGAAATCTGATTCCCAGCCAGTGATTTCAGTACAGTAAAACTGTCATAATGACCACCTTTTTAGTAAAGATTGTGTCCAGTGAACACATGACGCTACTATATTGAACACCTGTGTATAGTGAACACCGATTCCCAGCCAGTGATTTCAGTACAGTAAAACTGTCATAATGAACACCTCTTTAGTGAAGATTGTGCCCAGTGAATACATGAGTCTACTCACTGTATTGAACACCTGTGTATAGTGAACACCAATTCTCAGCCAGTGATTTCAGTACAGTAAAACTGTCATTTTTTCTACACTTTTTCAGAACCCCATGTAGAAGGGTAGGTGAACTGCGGAGCTAAGAAAATACACAGTCCAATCTACCATATAGCAATATTATTAGCAATTAGTGATCCATTTGCTATGTTTCATTTATTTTGGACTGGATCAAATGTCTATTCTTGGGCCAAATGTCTTCTTATCATAATGTCAAAATACATTTTTAGAGGCAGACAATCGATTAATAGAAATTGGAATGTGTGTATCTTGCCACTCCTGCACAATAATAGACTCGCCCACTTGGTCCCATGGATCCACTTGCAAAATATATAACCATTAACCAATGATTTAGCATTAGGATACCATCATGTCTGTCACCATATTATGTCAATGTACCCTTGTTGAAATCCTCAATTTCTATGAAGAACTCAACTTGATCGAGTCTTAAGAAGTAGATTCATGTTGGATAGTATTGCTAGAATCCATTTTCACAACTTTTCGTGTAGTTGAATCCACAATTATCTGCGTTTATCGGCAGAAAGGGAACATTTCTCTTTTTCATCGAGAGAGATTCCATCACTTTTCAAGATGGCAATTAGATTTAAAAGGGTATTTCCCATTTGACTGGCCCGGAAGTACCAATAAATGGAGGAATTTGATGGTTGAAATAAGTTAAATATTACATGCAAATATTGTGATCAAAAACAAAAATTTCTTTGTTCTGCCGATAAACCCAAATAATTGTGGATTCAACTACATGAAAAGAATGCTAAAATACCAAGGAATCTATTGAAGTAGGTATCTTAAGTGTAAGAGGCGTAGAAAATTCTCCCATGTTGTAATCGTACAGGCAAAAGATTGAGACGTTAACAGGAGTATAGTCCTAGCACGGGATACGCGTGCAAGACTATAAGTCCTGGAATTGGATAACTACCATTCCAATTGGCTCAGATAATGCTCAGAAATTCAGATATATAATTTCAGTTTGTTATTTATGTCTTTCATTGGTTTCGGTATAATGCGCATTGGTATATTAGTTTTTAAATATATATTAGATTTAAAAGGGAATTCCCCGTTTGACTGGCCCAGAAGTGGCCCATATTACACACAAATATTGCGATCAAAAATGAAAATTTCTTCATTCTGCCGATAAACCCAGATAATTGTGGATTCAACTACACGAAAAGAATGCTAAAATACCAAGGAATCTATTAAAGTAGGTATCTTAAGTGTAAGAGGCATAGAAAATTCAGGTACACCCCAGTTGTCCAAACCCAGTTCTCCGAAACCCATTACTCCGAAAAATATAGTCATAATTTACCAGAGAAAGGGGTAAGCTTAGGCCAGTTCCATGCCATATATTTGGCCAAATTAATGGCATGGACGCATTCTGATGTTCATAGATCTCTCACTTTGAATTGCATCCATTGCATGGCGTTACCAGAATGGCAGGAACGGGGGATTTATTTAACATTGAGATTCTAAAAAAGGTTATCAAAATTGTATTTTATTGTATCCCTGTAAATTGCATGTACATAGTGTCGGCCACTAGGGCTAGTTACCTTTTTATTGTATACTTTTTTTAAGCTCTTGATTAATACCAATATATGCCCTTTGGTGTCTCGGTATTTGTCATGCTGCATTTTTGTACATACTTTTTATAGAATTAATAAATAAATAAATAAAACACAATATATATTACAGCACAGTCTATCTATCTTCTTCAATCTCTTTTATATAGGCAAAATAAAATGAAACATTTTGAAACAGATAAAATAAGTTAACGCATAGAACTTTAAGAATAAAATGGTATACATATTACGTTGTCGAAATATTTCGTCGCATTTAATTTCTTAGTTTCTGTCTCTTATCAAATCGTAAAAGAACAAAACATTCTAAACTTAATCACTTGGGATCAACTGGAAACGAAGACAGGCTGTCCTCGTAACAAAATTGACGTTCTTCCATTCGCAAGAAGTTTCTTTTTCGCCATGTACTCACTTCATCCTTTTGAATGTAATCTCTATTTCTCGAACAGATCGTACGTAAGTGAAGAATAAGTTTTGGTTTGATATACACGTCAACTTTACTAAATAAATGTCCACTGGCTTGGGAAAGCTATTTTCCCTTTTATGAACGCCCATCACCCATTGGAAAAATGTTGTTCCCTCTCAAGAAAGGCCCATGGTCCATAAAGAAAACTGGTTTAAAAATTGTACACCCCCATGTATGTTATGTAAACGCCACTTTGCAATGAGAATAACATAATTTAACTTTGTTTGTTTGAACATCTTTATCACCTGTATATGGCCTTGTACTTTCATCTTTTGACAGTTTTATTAAATACCAGCCCATAAAAGAATCGTTCATTTGATGAAACTTACTCTCAAATCCACCCTTTACCAATGAAAGAGTGCTCGTTCATATTATAAGCTGTAATTTTCGGACAACTGGGTTTCGGAGAATTGGGTTTCGAACATCTGGGTTTCGGACAACTGGGTTGACCCCGAAAATTCTCCCATGTTGTAATCGTACAGGCAAAAGATTGAGGCTTCCTCAGGACTATAGTCCTGACACACAATGCGTGTCTGTGTTACACAGTACAACACCATGTGCCTTGTGCTCATTTTTACCAAAGAGTGCGATTTCTTACTGGACCATGGGATGAAATGTACCAATAACAGCAGGTTTTTCCGGAGAGTGCTGTTTGATCCCTACCTGTGATGTGAACTCTGTCAGTGTCAACAAAAAAAACAGAAAATTTTTTACTATTTTTGATCAGGTCAGCTACACAAAAAGGCGTGTATTATTGACACAGCAATCGACCTATCTATGAATCTTATTCTTAAAGCTCCAAAGAGCGTAAATATGAATTGGTTTATACTCTTATATAGGTGTAGAATATGAATAAGAAATGCATTTTATTTCTTACCTCCGCCATTTTTGACCTATTTCCGCATTCGCTCTTCAAACGCGAGATCAAAATGTCAATAGAGGAACAGCTTGCGACTTATCGCGATAGAAAAAAGAGAGAAAACGTACAACTGAGTCCATTTGCCGCTATTTTCAGTAGACACAAAACAATCTACAAACATCCTAGCGTAAGTTTAACCTAATGTTGTTGTTGTATGACATTGAATTCTAGTCATATTTGAGTATACGAAGTCCATATTTTTTCCTAGTGGGCGATAATATGTTTGTTTACTATGTATTTAAATCAATAAAAGGTAACCAATTTCCAGATAATCTTTGGTCTACTCTAAGCCAACCAATTAACTATGTCAAATACCAGGAATTTATAGCAATTTATAGGAATTTATTTCCTGCGAGGTAAAAACCTAAATTCATACTACAGCTTGGACCTGCCCTTACCTCACGCATTAGGCGTGATTGTCACCATGGGCTCTACTTACTTGAGTCTTTAGACAATACTTGGCTAGAGGGGATTTCATCTGGAATACTGTGAACTCCATTTGAAAAAAGCTGGCCGCCGTGTCATAAATTTATTGAATATTTTAAAAATCGCCAGATAAATAAATCAGTAATTAAAACGGTACCCGCTCGGCTCCAAAATGGCTCCAAGAAAAATGCCTATGTTCGAAAACTGGACGAAATGTTGTTAACGTCTGACATTAGTAACTGGCTGTAAATTCTAAGTTAGCGATCCAGAATATGTGAACTAATACACTGATCACTTTATGTGTGTTTTGGAATTTTTGGTGAGGTAATAAGACCAAAACTCGCAATTCAAATTGTGATGTGGAAAAAATGGCGGACATATGATTTCAAATTTTATGATGATTACGAAATGACCAGTTGTTCATGCAGGAATATATCTTTACTGGAAGGCCACGATACAGTGGCCTTAGAAGAAGGTAAGGCTCTACCACTATCTGATAGAGCCCATGTTGTCACATATTTGCTGGAAAAATTATTTAAACAGGTGCATATGTTAGGCCAATGCATAATCTCCAGGAAAAGCACTCATGGAGATGATAAAATAATTCTGACTTTGAGACATGGAAGATGCAAACAACCCAGGCACCCACATGTTTTTTCTGAAATGTCCTGATTTTCAACCCCTCCCACCCTAATTGTGTGCTGATAATATGGCTATTTCATATAAAAAGGAAATTGTACGAAATGTTGTCAATCTTTGAAAATGTTTTGTCATGGGTTTGTAGAAAAAACCGGGTACCGGGTACTAAATCCTCCATGCTGTGTTCCGACTTGGTAACCGGTACCCGGTTTTTTCTACAAACCCGTTTTGTCATCTCAATTATTAAAGTTGTATGTGTTACACTGAATATCCCAGTTCCTGTTGGCTTGATCTAGTATAAATGATTTGAGGAGGATAATATGGGCTTTCTAAATATATTCAGCTAACTATTTCAAATCAATACGAAAAATATACATTGTCAGTGTGAGAACCAATTTCTTCATCTATTATTAAGTTTCAAGTGTACATAAAGATTAAAGCTTAATTTTTTGGAGTATTGGGTATTGGAGTAATGGGTTTCGAAGTATTTGGTTTCAGAGTAATGGGTTTCAGAATATTGGGTTTCAGAGTATCTGGTTTCGGAGTAATGGGTTTTGGTGTTTGTGATTACAGCTTTTAACTGTACATGTTGTTCCCTTACACTGCAATGAAAATTTTCTGGGTTCCTGATTCTCTCCTTGTCCTCCTTACCTGCCTTTGTTTGCTGGAAGTATGACATGTACTTAATATACAGTATGTCACAATGTTTAAATACAGGCTGTATTTTTGTGTTACAGAATGAAGGGGTTGCGACTGGATCAACTAAAGGACCAAGCAGTATGAACTCTGAGGTTGTTTACTCAGAGGCTGAAAACATTCCAGTGCTAGCCAAGGATAAACTTTCTGCACCTATTAACAATACACTGCCTGTAGTAGATGGACAAGAAAAATCACCTGGAAACTTTCTTACCAGATTGTGTACAGAAAACCGCTTTATCAGCAATACATTATTCTTGAAAATGATCCTGTGGCTAATCTTAATGGGATTATTTGTCGAGCTAGAATTTGGGGCAGTGTTTTTTGTCATTTCTGCCTTCTACTTTATGTATAAGAACATGAGGACCAAAAAGAAAGATGAAGAAGCTCCTAGTGCTTATTCAGTGTTTAACCCCAACTGCGAGAGAATTGATGGAACTATTGATGCTGAACAGTTTGAGAAGGAGTTGAAATATGGAGCAGTGGCATTTAATCATAACTGATCTAGTATAAAAGTCTATTGAGATTTGATCATTTGGTATGACAAATTCAGGAACTCACAAAAGCCACTGGCCCCCAAGTTCTAATATAGTGGAATTGCCTTATTATGGACTGGAAAATTTGACTGTCCCACAAGTTTTGGAAATTGCTGCCTAGGATGCAAGGACTAATAAGGAATTGAAATATTATCGAGTCATTCAGATAATACTGCCTTATACTGTCACATGGCATCTGTATAGTCCATTGGCAGGGATGTAGCCAGGCCTTCCCAAGATTTTGAGAGATTAATAGATTATATCCCATCTGGCTCACTTATATGTTTTTATTGTACCTAAAAAAAGGTACGATATTAATGTCAGCTTGACGGGTGGTGGGCGGTTACATGATACCAGATTTACAGATTCATGATTTATATAGTGTTTGTTTAGATTTGCTACTCAGTGGAGTTGCCGTTTTCTAGTTAAAGTTCATGACTGTGGGGACCAGGGGTTTTGGTGAAGGTACATAGAAAACCCTGATCAAGATGTTTCTAAAATATCAAAGAGTCTTTCATCATCAATTGCCCATACTTCCATGATTTGAACCACTACTCTCCTAAGATTTGAGAACTTTCTGTTATGCTGTTATGGTAATTTCCTCTGACATCATTACATAGGTAATGAGCACACATTTATCATGTGTTCCTTCCAACATGCTGATTCGTTGAGAAACCAGTGTGGTAGGTTTGAAATGATTAATGACTTGCAGGCCCATAGCCAGGGGGGTTCGGTGGGTAGTGGGTACTAGCGAACTCCCCCCCCCCCCCACCCGGCCAAAAATTCTTTCTAAATTATGCAGTTTTTCATCATTCTGAACACTTTTTAAGTGATTTGGGCCATTTTTGGACCCAAATTGTCAAAAGTGAACCCCCCTGGAATTTTTCAGAAAGTAAACCCACCCCCTTGGCAAATCCTGGCTACGGGGCCTGACCCGGGCTGTCACATGCATAGTTTGTGGGGGCTACTAATTTGTACTAAACTGTAGTGTATATTAAAGTATATCTATACTAGGCAGAGGGTAGTTTATAACTAGACTCTGCTCTCAGGGTAGTAAACATTGGGCTCACTAAGTTTTCTATTAGACAGGGTGGGCCAAAAAAAACAATACCCAACTTCAAATCAGGATAAAAATAGTTACATTCAATATGGTACATTGACTTACATATCATTTTAAGGGTTATACATTTTCAAACAATTTGGTATTAACACGTTGTCATGAAATCAATAGTTAAGTTTTATTATACTTATACTTATTTGGGAGGCCGGGTTGCCATTTAAGGTCTCCAGATTTTGGGGAGAAAATAGTAAATCTATGGAATTATGTTAATTTATTATTTATAGAATATCATTTTTTGTTAGGTGCATACATGTTTGGATATTGGTATTTGCATCATTGTGTGACTAAAGGAGGAGGGAAATTAGTGCAACAGATTTTGGATAGTCATATGTTAGATTTTGGCTATTCTCTGAGGATTTAAACAGGTGCATATGTTAGGCCAATGCATTTCTTCCAGGAAAAGCACTCATAGAGATGTTATAATAATTTCGACTCTGAGACAGGGGAGGTGCAAACAACCCAACCACATGTTTTTTCTGAAATTTTGTTCTGATTTTCAACCCCTTTCATCCCTGCTTTTTAATTTTTGTTGCATCAATATGTTGTGTTTTGACACACAGTTAACCACTTTTAAGGAATAAGTAATTCCTACAGGGGTTTTAAAGATATCCATTATGGGTGACCAAAATTAGCTGAAACGATGAATTGCATGAGTTTTCCCTATGGGAAAATAACATGGGAAATATTGTTTTCCACTTTATCTAAAAGGAATCACTTATTCCTTTAAAGGGGTTAACTGTGTGTCAAAACACAATATATTTTTGCAAGAAAAAATATAAAAATCGGCGTGGAAGGGGTTGAAAATCAGGAAAACATTTCAGAAAAAACATGTGGGTGGGTTGTTTGCATCTACCCTGTCTCAAAGTCGAAATTATTTTATCATCCCTAGAAGTGCTTTTCCTGGAGGTAATGCATTGGCCCAACATATGCACCTGTTCAAATCCTCAGAAAATAGCCAAAATCCAACATACGATAGTCTGAAATCTGTTGCGCTAATTTCCCTCCTACTTTATTGTTTATGAATTTCACTATTGTTTAATAACATTTTACACTATATTTATTTAAACAATTTAAACAATTGCTCAATATACCCCCCTCCCCCTGCATCAACAATAAGCTTCAAGTGGTAGCGCAATCTATCAATAACATTATTCAGAGATTTCTGTTGCAATTCATTTCAGCACTTTAGGATTCTGTTTCAGCTCATCAATGCTATTTTCCTCGAGATGGCTCCATGTATGGAAATCAACCTCATTAGTATCGGGGCTGTTGGGGGGCCAAGCATCGAGATCAACCAAATTGACACCTTGTTTGCAAAGGAATGCCAATGTCTCCTTTGATCTATGGTACCAGGCAATGTCTTGTTGGAAAATAAACTCCTTGTCACATTTTGAGTACTTATTGAGAATAAACAACACTAAAATTCATACACAATAAGTTTAGTCACACAGCTATGCAAATATACAAGCATGTATTCACCTAACAAAATGATATTCTATAAATAAAACATTATTCCACAGATTTACTATTTTCTACCTAAATCTGGATATATATATTCTTCATCCAGCCAATGTGAAATCTGGAAGATGTCAAAGAGAAAGGCATGTACACTATATACTACAGTAATGTTGTACAGTAACTAGATGCCCTGAGTAAATTTGTGAAGGGTTGGTGTGGCTAAATAGATGAGGTCAAGTTTGAAGCTGTCTAAATGGTGATGTGGTATTTATACAATCTTATTCTGGTAGACAAAATATCCTGGATGCTCAAATGCAATGCTAGCCTTACTTTAAAGTGGACAAGGTTCCCTACCTGCAGTTAAGAACACAAAAAGGTCCCAAACCTGTATAATAAAAATAAGCATATGGATACTAATGTTAGAATAAAATTGCATTGGATGATAAGTGATATATTGAGTAAAGTAGTAATTTGAATTGATGTGTCACACCCATGATCAGATTTAAAATTATTTCAATGCAACGTGCAATTGACCACACACTGTTCCCAGTTGGTATTTCATTTGGTGGAGATAACACCTTTCCTTTTACAGATGATCCAAAAAAACAACCCTTTAAAAATGTATCCTATCAAACCAATTTTTTATGTGCATAAACAAGAATCTGTGGATGATAAGTTTGTTACACAAAATTAATTATTTGTGATATCATGGATGATCTTGAATGTGTCCAATTTTCGGAAAATCAACATTGAGACAAAATCATTTCTTGAGATTTTATGAGAAATTCAGAAGGAAATTCCAAAGAAGACATTAAATGAAAGTCTCATTTGATTTTCTAATTGAAAAATGAAAAATAGGCAATGGTTAAACACCTAGTAAAAGATCAGATAACTGAAATTCCTGGCCTCAATCTCTGTATGAAATTCCATTGGATGAATTCTCAAGAGATCATGAAGACAGCAGAATGATCAAAGACCATTGCATGGCATGTGTTGTCAAAGTAAAATGTTAAATAATGAGTTGGAAGAGGAAGAAAAGAGAACACCTGAATGGAAAAAATAATCAGCTTACACCTATCTAGAGAGGTTTCTAAAAATAGGGGTATGAGAACACCTGAAAGCACTGTGTGTGATTGCATTGAATGCAGTTCCAAAATATCGCTCAGAAGGTGCAACTACACCTAAAGATGACTTAAAGGTTTCTGGAAGACTTCCTCATTAATGATTTCACCCTCTATAATCACAAAATACAGCTTAACAACAGGCTAAATGAATGTGATGGGTTTCAACAAATAATGTGTAACCTTTTGGTTGACATGAAAATCTTTCATTTTCTTTTCTTGGGCACATTTTTAAAATGGCCATAAAGGAGAATATTGAATGTTATGTAACAAATTTGGTGTCACATTGTCATAGATTGTAGTTTCTGTACATGAAAACTGAAGCTGATTACATATGTATTAAAGAAATTATTTCATTTTTGGAGGGTTCTGTTTCTTGGGGTCACCCTGTATACAAAAATAACTGTTTTGAAAGCCTGAGAAACACTTATGAGAAACTTAAGAAGCAACATATACACAGCGTCTCTGAAAATATATTGATTGGTTTATTTGTGCTGTTTACTTTTAAGTACATTTTTGAGACACCCTGTATTTTGAAAAAAAGTCACAGATTTCAGTTGTTATTTTGCCTTATTTCTATAAGAAAGATAATTTTCACATACATGTAACTTTTTACTGTTGTGTAAACTAAGATATTATGATACACGGGTAGTATCTGAAGCCCCGCCATGATTTAGAAATCGCGAGCAAGTTCCCGCTGAAATCGCGAGCAATTAAAAGAAATGAATGGGTATCTTTTGTTTACTTAAATTGTATGTTGTACAAAGCGTTTTCATTTAATTTTATTCAATTATTACATGGCAGTGATACTAAAAAGCAACTGCTGCAAAACAAGTATCACGATCTGATGTTCTGAATTTCGTTATTTGATAATTGGAGAGAGAATGTATCATCTTAAATCTTTATCTATATATTTCTATATTTTATAGCTGAAGAAGGTCGTTGCCCTTCAGTTGAAATGTTTATAGTGATATGAAATAAAGGTATTCTGAGTTTCACTTCCTAAAGCTTCGCCGAAATTTATATATTTCCATTTTACCATATCCCTCAAGGCCCCGCTTCTAACATGAGCAATAAACTAAAGATCCCGCTGAAAACATGAGGAGGCCCCGCTGAAAACATGAGGAGGTCCCGCTGAAATCAGGAGCAAGTGTCTCTCCAAAATGGAGTGAAGCCCGATTCTACTCTGCAAATCTGCCACGATTGTAGCCAACGTAATAGATATAATAATTATTGATACTCTACAGAGCACATGTATATCATATATCATTGTTATTGTTATTATTGTGACAACTAAACATGAACATGTGCGACTCTTTTAATATTATGTAATATCATTGTTATTTACGACTCTCTTTCATCATCAACTATCAATTCTTTAAAAAAGTCTCACGTGATTATGTTATTATGATAAGTTTTACCAGTGCAAGAGGCGCATATACGTATGTTTAGGCCATCATAAAAAAGTACCAAAAATATTACGGACTTTCCCAACCGCCCACCCGTATTTGACTCCCATACAATAATTCCCTGAGCCAGATGACCTAATGCCAACCCCCTCTCATGAAGATGACCGATGACAAAGTTGTGCAGCAATCCAGTGGCTGTTAGACTACCCTAAGCTAAAATGAACGGATGTGATTCATGTGAAGCAGGGATCTTATATGGAAATAGCAGCATCCAATTGCAAAAACTCGGCAATACAATAAACTGCT